TGAACCTCCCAAATACTGAGATTACAGGTGTATACCACCATGCCCCCAGATTGAGAAGGTTTTGTTTGTTGTGGTACTGGGAACTGAACCCAGAGCCTTTATGCTAAGCTACATTCTCAGTACCCTTTTTTATTTTTTGGAGACAGACGTTAAATTGCCCAGGCTGGGCTAAAACTTGTGGTCCTTGTGTCTCATCCTCCAAAGTTCGGTTTTAATTTCCTGAGAATATTTGGATTTTGTCCACTTTTTATTTTTTAATTTCTGTTGAGTTATATGAGTTTTCTCTTATTCTGTAATCACAAAGTTATGTTTTTTAAAAATCTAAAACTACCTAGCATTTGTGGGCTCAACCCCACTTGATCAAAGATGACTTTGTGCTGCTGGATTTTGCTTGTGCACAGTTATAGGATGTTGAGTCTTCAGATCCTAGGATTTTCAGTTTGAAACTTTTTGTTCTTGAATTTTGTCTTCTTTCTGTGTCAGGATTATGCTCATCTTCTGAAGGGAGTTGGCCAGTGTTCCTTCTGTATGTAACATTGATTTTTTTCCTCATCAGTGAAGTTACCTATGCCTGTAGGTTTTTTTCTATTCTTAATTTTAACATTAATTTAAAAGTTATTTCAACAATTATAATGAAAGAGGCTATCAACTAATTGTAAAGCATAGCCATACTTGGATCCTGATTTTGTAAAAATTATTTTTAAAAAATAGGCAGATTCTATTTCTTTGTTTTTTTTGTTTTTTTTTTTTTCTTTTGGTTTTTCTCCAGTACTGGGAACCAAACTCACGACCTTGCGCTTGCCAGGCAGGCGCTTTTGCTGCTGAGCTAAATCCCCAGCCCCGCAGATTCTATTTCTTACAGATGCCAGCTATGTATGTTCACTTTGTAAAAATTCAGTAAACTGTACACTTACAGGTGTACACTTATAATACAAAATTTACTTAATATATATGACACAAGCAAATTTAAACAGTGACAAAATATTTGATAACATTAAGGAATTATTAATTAAAAATGTGCGCTGAGTTCGTGTCCCCTGAATTTGAAGAATGAATTCCAAAGGACAAAGGAGGTTAAGAGTAGAAAAGTTTGGGGCCGGGGATTTAGCTCAGTGGCAAAAGCGCCTGCCTGGCAAGCGCAAGGTCGTGAGTTCGGTTCCCAGTACTGGAGAAAAACCAAAAAAAAAAAAAAGAGTAGAAAAGTTTTATTGGGGAATAGGAATAGCTCCTGAGAGACAAAAGGACCCCCTGAGTGTGTTGTCACTGAGGACCTTTGTCAGGGAGTAATTTATACAGCAAATTTACAATGTGGGTACAATGTGGGCCAAACTATAAACAACCCATAGGATCACAGGTGTAGCTGCTTAGCAGGGTACATAGCAAGGGTATATGGTGGTCATCATTACGCTTGGACTTACGTATGACTTTTAAAACAGGAACATTTGGAGAAAGGTTGGGTCTAGGTGTTGTGATCACCCACCTGAGTGTCTGTATATCTGGGCTTAATGGACTGAGTGCTACTAAATTACATGTATGTGGCCTTTGTGACTTTACCATGAGGCCTATCCTTCAGATGGACCTGCAGCCACAATTCTGATGTCTATTTTTCACTGACTTCCTTAAGAGTTCAGTCCCTCTCTGTGTATTAATTTCCCTATAGCTTAGCTGCCCATAATAATTATAAAGGTTGAACTCAGGGGTTCACACATCCTAAGCAAATACTCTTCCACTGAGCTATACCCCTAGTCCTTTTTTTAAAAATATAAACATTTAAACCTAAACAAAAAAATAAGGATTTAAACCTTTGAAGGTCATTGTAATGCTTGCTTTAAGTATATCCCACTAATTCTGATATTTTATTTTTATTATCAATTTAGTCAATAATGAAAATATTTTCTAATTTATTTTGAAAGTTATTTTTTAACATATGTTACATTGTTTACAGATACAGATATGTCTAACATAATTCTGTGTGATCAGTAATATTTACTGTATCATTTTAGTTCTTTGAAATTTACTGAGACTTTGTGACTTATTTTTTTAAATTTTAAGCTCTTCATTAATACAGAATTTTGGTTATTTGGAATTTAGTAAGAGGTATATACCTAATGTAAAGAATCCAATAATATATTATTGTCACTACATGTCATTTCTGGCATCTGACTCATTCATAGTCTGTACTTTGAAAAATTAGGAGTAGTTATAGCTAGATTATGAGACTGTATGAGCTGATCTCTGTATTTGCTTGAGTAATAGATTTTTAAAAAGAAAAAGTTTTTGTTTTGTGTTGATGCCTTTTAATTGAGTGTTATTCTTTACTCTTTAACATTTTCCCTAATAGGCTGATTTTCAAGATTTTAGCCTATATTTCCTGATTTACCATAGCCCAGTACTCAGCCCCTTCTTGTCTTAATTTTCTCTGTATAAAGTGAAGATGAAGTCAAACTTTTTTGAGGTTTGCAATTTTTAACAAAAGAAAACAATTATATGTACAGTAGTTTTGATTCACAAATGCTTCTCTTTGGAAACAATTCAGTTCTCAAAAGTGTTCAACAGAATTTTACTTGTGTTTACAAACTCCATCTCAGGTGACACAGGAACACGTCCGGCTTCCCCAAAATTGTAAAACAAATCAAGTTTGTGAACCAAGGTGCACTGTACTCACTCATGCATTTATTTATTTACTTGCTTCTATGCTGCTAGTAAAAGTACCAGCCTCAGCTGGGCGTGATGGCACAGCTCTAATCCCAGCACTCTGAGACAGTAAGGCAGGAGGCTCCGAGATTTAAGCACAGCTGGGGGCAGCTTAGCAATGTAGTGAGATCCATTTCAAAATTAAAAAATAAAAGTTGGGAATGTAGCTCAGTGCAAAGGCTGGGTTTGGTCTTGAGGCTCACATAAAAACAAAAAGAAAGCCATTCTTAAAATAGCCTGCCTTTAGGAAGCAAGACTGGAAGTGGGGGAGGTATAAAGCAGAGAACTTTCGCATTTAATCAGGAGTAAAAGAGGAAGATGAGCAGATGTTTGTATATTGTCCATGCTTCATTCATTCCTTAAATACAGAAATCAAAATTTTTTAAAGAAACAACTGAAGTTTAGGTATTATGTTCTAGGTATCCTCATTTCTGAGAGTTTAAGATAATTTTGAAATGTCAAAATTACCATATCATAAAATCAAAACTGTAAAGAAAATATAACCAATGAGTTCTTTGCTTTTAAATGTATAATTAGTATATAATTCTTTGCTTTTATACATCTTACTAGTGATATTTTGTATTATAAAATTTCTGTTTTCTTTTTGGGAGGTTTTGTCTTTTTTGTTCATTTGTTTTGAGACAGGATTTCTACCAACTATGGCCTTAAACTCACTTTGTAGCCCAGGCTGGCCTTGCACTCCCAGTGATCCTCCTGCCTCAGCCTTCCGAGTGCTAGGATTACAGCCATGTGCCACCACATCTGGATAAAGTTTCTATTTTCAGTGAAAACAGGAGTGATTGATTGCAGTTAACCATTCTTTGTGACTTATTTTTTTATCTGTAAAATTAGGATAAATAGTACTTGTCTTAATGCATTATTGGTATTGAGAGTAAATGAAAAAGTTTAAAAAACATGTGTTCCATATAGGCTGTGACAGTTATAATATTTCAGGGATTTCTTATGACTAATTACAAGGTGATTTAATGTCAGAATTTATTCTAAGATCTTTTTTAGTTATTATATAAATTCATCAAAATCTTTAGTGTTCGTAAATCTCTGGGAAAAATTTAAATTACTTTAGTCTCAAAAAACCATGAGACTAATGTTAATGGTTAAATTCCACCCCGCCTTTCCCTTGGCAGTACTTGGGGTTGAATCCAGGGATTCATAGGTACTAGGCAAGCACCACTGAGCTATACTTCAGTCCTTGATTTTTTTGTTTTGAGATGTGTTCTTGTTAAATTGCCCAAGTTGGACTTAAACTTTTCGTCCTTCTACCTCAGCCTTTTCCTGTATCTGAATTACTGGTATGAGCCACTAGACTCAGCAGAATACATTTTTTTCTTTAGAATTCCTGTGATGAAAATATTTAGTAAAATGAGAAAGGAAATTCTTGGTGGAGAGGTTTAAAGGATTTTGAGAAATTGGTAACAACCACAAAACCTATTACTGGTATTTCCAAAGTGAAGTTTAAATGTTAGTACTTTATGAAACTGAAGAATTTTTCATTGCATATATATTCTTTGTATCAGGCAAAACAAATATTTAGCTGTTTAATGGCATTTTACTCTATGCCTTTAAGAATTAAGCATTGCATTAGTATATAGAGATAGGAATATAACTTTATGTAGCTTTAATATTATTAAAACTAAGTTTTATGACCTAGAGACCAGGTTAAGTTAGGAATTGAAATGAGCCCTTAGAGATTTTGGGAAACAAGTGTCTTGGCCTAATCCTAATTCTAATAGTTACTTGCTTTATGATAGCTGTTGTGATGTCTTAGTTTACTTTGTCATTTAGGCAGGATTTACTGCAGTACAAATTCCATCTATTTGGGGAACCTTTACATGTTTTTCTTTGTCATGAGACCTTTTTTGTTCATTTCATTTTGCCTTGATATTTACATTACCAACAAATTATTACAATATTTTAAATAGCTAAAATCATCTCAACTGTGATTTTAAAAGTTAAAATATATTGGAAGGTGATGTTGGTATGTATGAATATGAAGAAGTAGCTATTTTAATTTAAGCTTTAAATGAGCAAATGGGGACTTAAATAGGATAGTTTTAAATTTGATAGGAGAATTCTCTGAATTTTAGCAACTGTTAGTGAATGAGAAGTATATTGAAAATCCCCTTTGGTGTTTCTTCCTGAAAACATACTCAACTACTTATCTGTTGACTGAAGTGCTATGCTCGCTGAAGGGATGTTCTTTGCAATTTTCTTTGGAGGGAATAGGATTGTTCGGCATTTTAAATCTTAACTTTCACATCTTTATCCTTTTTTTTCCTTCTCTCTAGGAGGAGCATATTATTTAATATCTAGAAGTCTAGGGCCAGAGTTTGGTGGTGCAATTGGCCTAATCTTCGCTTTTGCCAATGCTGTCGCAGTCGCTATGTATGTGGTTGGATTTGCAGAAACTGTGGTGGAGTTGCTTAAGGTAATTCACCTTTGCTTTTAGTTTTGTCTTTCATTTACCATAACTTCCTTGATAGTTTGTGTGCCACTTACAGTGTTAGGGGTTAGACCAGTGATGTGATGACCTGGAAATTCATCGTTTGAGAAGTTTAGCGCGAGAAATAGACAAAAAAGAAAATGATCAAAGAATGCCCGTGGTGTAGGAGGCCTGCCTGGTAACACAAAGTGGGGAAGGGGAGGCTAGTTACTCTTCAGGAAAGTGGAAAGGTTTTCCAAGGAAAGACAGTCAGTATAATGGGCAAATAGCAAAATGTCAGGAAATAAGGGGGACTAGGAAGAAACGAAAGCAAAGGTCTGGAAAGAGTAAATATGGTGCATTGAGAAAAGCACAGTATTTCTGTGTGTTTGAGACATGAAGTGGCAAGACATTTAAGTCCAGAAAGAGAAAGAAAGGGTCCAGTCGGGGAAGGTCTTATTTGCAGTAAAGTTTGGGCTTTTAATTTGATTGGAATTGGGGGCCATGAAAAAATCACATTTGGGGCCTAGAGAAATATTTGACCATGGAACAGGAAATGAACTGAAGTGTTACAGCTAGGGATCGGGACCAGTGAAAAGGTTATGGTTATCTCAGGAGCAGAGGTGGTAGTGATTGAGTGATGATACAGGATCTGCAAATAATATAAGGGAAATATGATTCCCAACCTGTTAGATGTTCAGTGCATTGAGTTTGTGTTCTCTAAAATGGAAGAATGAATTGTAGGAACAAAAGAAGTTAAGAGTAGGAAGTATTTTTTTGGAGAAAGAAAAGCTTCCATCTAAGATAGTCAGAACGGGTTCAGAGTAGGTGTCCAGCGGCCCAGCTTCTCAAGGAAATTTCATAGAGCAAATTACAAGTATAGTCACTTAGGTAATACTGATCCAGTGGAAAATCACAGGATGGGTGTGAGGTGGGACAAGATTACAGTGAACCAATAAGGTTACAACAAGTAGAGTCCTTTGAGTAATATTGATTAAATGGGGATCAAATTGGGAAGCAAGTCTCCTAGCAAGCACACATGGGATAGACAAGGACTTTCCTGGAAAAGGGGGTTAAGGAGGTTTGTTCCTCCATCCCAGGGTGAATATCTGTCACTGCTGTTCATCCCTAGGGGAGTATATGTGTGAGTAGTTCCTTTTTTCTTGAAGTCTGACCTTCAGTGAATACGCCTCCAGCCACAATTGTCTTTTGCATTGACCTCTGGAAGGCCAACCATGTCTGACCACCTGTAACATTTTAGCCTAACTTGGCTGCCTTTAATAAGTATACAATTTAATTTTGGATATGCTGGTTTAAGGAACCAGAGGAATATTAAAATAGATCTGCCAGAATGCAGTTGAAAGTATGTATTGCTCTACACAGAAGAGAACTTGTTTGAGAAATCATTGGGATATGTGGAGTTAACTAAGAGTGACATAGGATTCCTTCATATTAAATGAGAAGAATCTCAGGTGATACCTAGAGCTGTTCATGTCAGGTTGTAACTATCAGATTCTTACAGAGTATTTATGATTTAGGAATGTTGCATGGAAATTTAAATTTAGAGATATTTAACCAAATTTGAACCTCACACTGAAAACTAAATTTAATATGTAAAATATTGAGCTCTACTTGTGATGCTCTATTGCAATCATGATCCATCAATCTACAAACCAACCAGTAGATACTGTATTTTTTCCTGTTAGTAATTCTCAGGTATGATTATCCACATGCTGTAGGCAATGTCAGATTAAATTACGTAAATTTCAAAACGTATCCAGTGAAAATTTATTACAGGGTAAAAAGTATATACACTTGTTTTATGAAATCAAGTGTCTAGCCTAGAGAATAAAAAAAAAATCTGAAAATGAACTTCATTAGGATTTTTATAGCCAGCTGTGGTGGTGCATGCCTGTAATCCGAGCACTCAGGGCGGAGGCAAGGAGGATCACTGGGATTTCAAGGCCTGGATTATAGCAAGACCCAGTGTTAAAAAGAAAAATAGGATCATTATAATATACTTTTTTCAGTTGCAATATGATATAGTTATCTGGGTTATCAAAAAATAAATTGTGTTACAGTTTTTTCTGCCTTTTATTGACCTTATTTGAAAAGTGGTAATTCATCCATATTTGATTACTTAGTTGACTGAGATATCATAATCTTTAATCTTAACCCACATGGGAACTTTTTTAAAAAGTTACAGATATTAACTAAAAATAATTTTGCTTCTATAAATGAGAACAGTGTGTTTTTTAACAATAACATGAAGGTGTGTTCATCTCTTTTTCCTCATGTAGCATAAAACAGAAGCATAAGTACACTCAATCACTTTAAATACAAAATGTCACTTAGGAAGTGACACTCAAGGAAAAATTGAACTAGCAATATTGTTCTGTTTAACAATTCCTTTGCTTGTCTTTTTGATTTATTAAGTTTATACTAGATATACCAGTATTATATTAATAATTAAGTCATATACCTGATGTCAGATATGTCACGTAGATACTTGAATGACATCTCAGTAGTAATTCATTTTTCGCTTATATCTTCCATTGTTTCGTTTAGTAAGCATTTATTCAACATCTACATGCAGTGTGCTTTTGCTCATATTTTTTATTCTCTTTTTCTAGGAACATTCCATTCTTATGATAGATGAAATCAATGATATCCGAATTATCGGAGCCATAACAGTGGTCATTCTTTTAGGTATCTCCGTGGCTGGCATGGAGTGGGAAGCAAAAGTAAGTCATGACGGCAGTACATGTTCACCATACGAACTTTCTAGAAGATGTCCAAGGTCCACTCTAACATGTGACATTATTTTCAGATTCTAGTGGTACCTAAGTGCCCATTTTCACAGCATTCCTAAGGTTTTTTATTTTTTTACATTGATTGATTGGTTGGTTAGTTTATTGACTGATTTGCATGTGGGGGGAATTGAGCCCAAGGCCTCACACATGCTTGGCAGCAACTAGCACTGAGCTGTTTCTGGTTCCTCAGTTCCCCTAACTTTTGAACTTCTTACTTTCCCCCGCTACCCTTCCGCTTTGTTTATTTAAAAATACTCAGTTCAAAATATTAGCCAAAGTTTAACATTTGGTTTTGTAATTTATTTCAAAGTTCAGTTTAAAAGTAAACTTGGGGCAATAGCTAAAAGTACTCACACGGTGTTAAAGAAGCTACTCTTGTCTTTTGCTATTGAAATCTCAGAAGTCACGGCTTCCAAAGGAAATGCCGTTGTGTCTGCAAAACATTACTGAAGTAATGCTACCCTTGTAGGCGGGGCACCCAGAAATGCATCCATGTCTTTGAGGGTAGAGTAGATTACAGTACAGCTGTATAGTTTCTTGAGTGATCGTTATCCTCCAGATGCTGCTGAGGAATTCGGGTTGCTTTATGTTTGTTTTGTAGATCTTAAAGTCACATATACTTTAGCTGTATGTGATATGATAATAGTTACCAAAACCAAAACTTAGGGAAGCATGCAAGAACAATATTTTTCCAGGCTTTTTATTTATTGTAAAGGCACAGTAGTATAAAATTATCATTTACCTATATTATGTTTTGGGGGTGGGGGTGGGTTCTGTGGGTTAAACCCAAGGCCTCATGCACACAGGCACATGCTGTAGCACTGAGCTGTACACAGCACCTCATTTACTTACACATTTAATAAATTATCTTTATTGAAAAGAATTTCATTTTACCTAAGACATGATCAGCATGTAAGTAGTTCTTGTTCCTTCAGATGGTATAGTTGTTGAAGAGTAATCAGTTTTACTGAGAGATTAAAATTGCTGAAAAAGTAGTTGTTCTCATAGGTTGATTTTTTTTCCTTCCATCCCATTGCTTGAATTCCTTTCCTCTATTTTGGTTTCTTTCTCCACTGTTTGTTTTATTATAGCAGTCAGACATTCACCAGTTTGTTTAGACCTGGTAGAAGACTTGTGTTAAATATGTTCTCTGTGTCAAGATGATTATAAGATAGAGGTGAAAATAATTATATAGGATGAAAAGCCTATATTGTTAATGAATTTTAATGGTTTAAGGTTTATGGGAAGGTATGTACATCTCATTTCAGGAATCCATGACCTTATCCTATTTTTATTGTCCACTTTTCGCAGTGTATTGAATATTTAAATCTTTAAAGACCTGTTTGTCTACTTAACCATTTTATTGAGCACCTACTTTGTCCTTGGCACCCTGAGGCATGGGAGGAAGCAGATGAAATGAGTTAGAAATCTTTTCCTTCATGGAAATATATTTTACTGGAACTGAAAAATGGTACAGACACAAGACATTTGATTTTTAATTTTAATGTTTAAAATTACAGGCTCAGATTGTTCTTCTGGTGATTCTACTTCTTGCCATTGCTGATTTCATCATAGGAACATTTATTCCATTGGAGAGCAAGAAGCCCAAAGGTTTCTTTGGTTATAAATGTAAGTAAAACAAAGGTCAAATACTTCTTAAAGGGTCCACATGATAGCAATCTACTGTTGAGTAAATTTAGTACATTTTTAGGTGTTTTTAATTGAGTTTGGTTTGGTGATTCACATTAATTCACAGTTCTGTTTTTGTTCCATTCATTAGACTGTACAATAAGAATAAAGGGACTCTTACTTTTATCTTTGGTTTTCAGTATTAGGAGCAAAAGATGATAGAATATAGTAAAATTCCTTTTGATGTCTATGACTTTTGGCAATTTGTAACTTTAGTTCTAAGATTTTTCACTTTTTTAGTGATGTGTCCTGTAGTGTTCTGAGCACACTGTGAGAGATGTGCCTGTTAGGGGTTAGGTGATGTCGTTGTTGTGCACATACATAGAGTATATTTAGATGAGCCAAAGCCGCTTCATCCTAACTCAGTGATAAGTCTTCAGGAGCCACTGTCACATGTGCAGTCTATCATTGACCAAAATAGCACTAGTTGACATATGAATATGTTTAAATACAATGTTTTACTTACTTTTTTATTAGAACATGTTCTTAGAACATAATATTTACATTCCTTGTGGGGAGTTGCTACATGTACATACTATGACTTAATTCCTTTCTTTAATCCCCATTTCTGTCCTTCACTACCTCCTGTCTCCATCTATCTCTTGATACTCTTTCTTTATTTTTTAGGGGGTACATATTTGATGTACATAAAGTGTACATTCCTTGTGGGGAATTCATGCAACATCTTAAAAGTATTTAAGACTATAAAAGCAGCCAGAAGTTGCAGTTTCTTGGTATAACTGCAACTTAAGTTTTCTACATTTTATGTTAATTATGTGAAAATTTTTCTAGTTTTCATCTCATTTGCTTCTAATTTTCACTAGTAAAATGTGCTTACTATTTCCTAAAGTATCCTATCAGTATATGTCCTGTCATCTTCCCACTTAATGAGCAGCTGTGAACCTATTTCTGTGAGATTAGTTGCTGTTGCATCAGAAAGGCTTGTCTTCATTTGGCTAAAATCAAACTTTTTAACCCCAGAAGCAAAAGTGTACCTTTAGTTCTATTGAATATTTTTGACATTTCTTCTAAGTTATGAGTGCTTTCTTCACTTTAATTTTTTAATATACATTTTTAACATGTTTACTTCTAACAAAATGTTAAAAATATCATGGATGATTATTTCTAAAAATATTCCCAATAATTATACATTCCCTTCTTAGAAGATGAAGTGATTTAAAAATACTTGGAAATGCTGCTAAGCCATGTTTTTCGTTTTCTTTTTCTCAGATTCCTAATAACTTATGAAGGTGTCACACAGTTCTGTAGTATACTAACCACACATGTTACATTCAGGTAGCATACCTGGCCTTATCTCGGTCTGAGGCTAGTAAATGTAAATATACTTTAGGATGGGACCTTTCTAGGTGGTTGATGCAGATTGGCTCCCCTCTTACTCATCATACTAAGATAGTATTAACAGAAAACAGGTCATATTGATAAGCTTGGCGAAGTTCACATGACTTCCTAATAGCAGTATGTTTTGTTTTTGTTTTTTTGTTTTTTTGTTTTTTTTGGTTTTTCTCCGGTACCGGGAACCGAACTCATGACCTTGCGCTTGCCAGGCAGGCGCTTTTTGCCGCTGAGCTAAATCCCCAGCCCCTAGCAGTATGTATTGTATCCTCTTTCTTTTCTTCCTTGGCTTGTAAGAAATGTCTTTCTTTTGGCAAACACTGGTGCCTCTGCTGTTCTTTGGATCCCTTTTCTTTTATTTTCTCAAAAACAGTTCTTTCATGTCTTGATAATTTAGTTGTTTTCCTATAGCAAAATTTTTGCCCCTGAATTATAACCATGCTGTAGTAAATGTTATTCTTAGAAATACTGTTTCTTGTTTTTTAATTCCCCTATAGTTACTATCTTACTTTTTAGCTCCAGGTAATAGGCAAATTTCTCAAATCTTTAACTCTCACTTACTTTTTATTTCAAACCAGTCAAACCTATAAAAATTTGCAAAAAAATACAGTAAGCTTTATACGCTTCACCTACATTCACCAGTCATGAACACTTACATATTATTAGTTTTTTTCAACATTTGTTTTATTAATCAAAATAAACACTTCAGTTTGTATCTACGAAGGAAAAGAATAACCCAGGAAATAGAACTTTGGTCCAATACCAATTTCCTGTGAATCAATTCTATATGGATTTTCCCTAGATCTCTTTACAATAATTTGTAATTTTCCTGTCCAGAATCGTGTGTTGCATTCAGTTATCATGTTTTTGTTTCCTTTTTTAAAACATTTTTTATATAATTTTCAATCTTTTTTCCTGACATTGTTGACATTTTTCTTTCAAGGGTAGAGGGTATTTGTCTTTTAATTCTACCAAGTTGAGTTTATCTGATATTTTTCAGTAGATTCAGGTTACTCATTTTTGTCAGGTGTCCCCTGAATGATTTGTCCTCCATGCATCACATCAGGAGGTATGTGTGCTGTTCGTTTTCTCCATTTCTGGTGGTGTTAATTTTTATTACTTTGTTATGGTGGTACCTGGAGATTTAGCCATTGTGAAATTTGCACTTTCTTCTTTGTAACCAGTAAATACCCTGCAGAGGAATACTTTGAGACTATCCATCGCTTACTCATAAAGTTAGAACCAAATGAGTTTCTTCTTAACCCCCTTACCTGCCTTCTATCAAATGCACAACTACACGGTACTAGATTCAATGTAAACTTTTTTAAACTTCCTAATTTTTTAAACTTCCTTGTCCTTGGAACGTTTCTCTTGTCTTATTTGGTGTCGGGTACACTTGGTGTTCCACTAACTTATGGATCACTATGTCTATTCCACCTGGTTCCACTTATCTTTTTTCTGTCCCTTAATTGCAGACCTGTGCAGAGTGTGGTCCTGCCCTTCCAGTTTTGTTCTTTTATTTGGCATTATGTATTTGCATGTCTCTAAATCACTGTCCAGAGACTGATGTCTTTATTCTAAATCTCCTTTAAAGCCCAAATGTATGTATACAGTATATCCAGCTGCTTATCTGATGTGTTTTCTATTTACTTCTCCTTAGGTTCTTCATTTCTGCAAGTCAAAGAAATTTAGATCTCAGGGGTTCCTGTTTCCTGCCCTCCTCTTCTGTCCTTGTCTTTATCAGTATGATATTCCCCTACCTGTAGATTGAAGCCCTGCAGCAACTCCTAATTGGTCTCTGTTTCAGATGTTGGCCCCTTCAGGCCATTGACTATACATTAATAAAATTTAAACTTGCGTGAAATTTTGCATAGTCCATCTCCCTCTGATGTCTCCAGTCTCATTTCATTCTCCCTCTTACTATGAGAGCTTTATCTTCTTCTGTTTCCTTACGAGCTAAGCATTTTTCCTACCTCAGAGCTGTGCATGTTGTTTCTCATTCCTAGTATGCTCTTTCCTTGATCATCACATTGCTGGTTCCTGTTTTTTAAAGTGTTTGCCTAAATGTTACCTCCTTGGTTATATGTCTTTAGCTTTCTGTAATTGAACCAAGTCAGATTTTTTTTTGGTTGTTACAACACCCTGTTTCTACCAGTGCATTTACTGCTGTTTGTAATGACCTGTTTCTTTACCTATTTTGTAGAAGCTTCCCATTCCATGGAGGCAGGGACCGTGCTTGTCCTAATCATATTGTATCTCTGAGCACTGTGACACATTAACTAGCTTTAATACAGAACCTGGCACATGATACATACTCAGATATTAAAATGGCAGTGTTATTTTATTGCCAGTACCTGTCTTTAGACTAGATTTATATGGTAGGAACAATTGAAATATTCATTATTGTTGACATAGAAAGGATCTTTACTTAGAGTGCCATAGCTATAATTGCTTGACATAGGTCACCACTAAAAATAGATTAAAGACGTGGACAGAATCCTATACAGATAGGACTTTAAGTTGGAAATAATGGGGAAAAACTTTCTGGATTAGTATGTTTCTTTTATTTATCATTCTTATTTTACCTCTGCAACTGAGGATTTATTCACACCTTGATTTACATTGGACCTAGTGATAGCAGTAAACAGTTTCTAAAAATTTTTTGGTAGTGTATAAAAAAGTGGGATGTAACCCCGATCAGATCATCATTTTGATGATAAATCATTCTCTCATGCAAGGAAACACAAATACTTGAATTCGAAAAATGCACAAGAATTTATCAGTTAATTGAATTGAAGAAAAGTTGGGGATCATACATACCAGTTACTGTTGACACACATTCTTGTAGTCTAATATGCTATTCATTATTTGCCAAAAATACTTTGTTCTTCGCAGCGGAAATATTCATGGAGAACTTTGGACCCGATTTTCGAGATGAAGAGACTTTCTTTTCAGTGTTTGCCATCTTCTTCCCTGCTGCAACTGGTATTCTAGCTGGAGCAAACATCTCAGGTGATCTTGCAGTAAGTATTATGAAGTACTGCATTAAATAAATAAATGTGTGTGTGTGTGTGTGTGTGTGTGTGTGTGTGTATACATGTTTTTAACTGACGTGTGTGTATGTATGTATGTATTTATTTTTGAAGAGACTTTAAAAAGTTGTCTTCTCTTCCAGGATCCTCAGTCAGCCATACCCAAAGGAACACTCTTAGCCATTTTAATTACAACACTGGTTTACATAGGAATTGCGGTATCTGTAGGTAAATAGCCTTCCATTTCTTTGTGTCTCAGGTATTTCATGGTGTACAAATATTTTCAGGATATTTTCTAATTTTTATCTTGAGAAACATTTCAGTATAAATACATAGAGCTAATTATAATTTTAAAAACAGCTTTAAGAAAACTGGTAGTGGCTTATAGACACTAAAGTACCAAATCCTTTATTTTTATCTTCTCTAGGGTTTATTACTGAAGTTAGAAAAATATGTGAAATCATACTTGTAAACTCTTAAATTTTACTGTTGAAAAAAATTTCATATGTGAAAGTGAGTGAACTTTACTCATAGATCTTTATAAATTTCTGAGATTTTTTGTTTATCATGATCAGTTCTGTCTTCATATAATAAAATCATTATTGAGACTGTTAGGCAATGCCTGCCTTTTTTTTACAGTGAAAATACTGATTTTAAATAGGACTTACTAAGCAGAATAACTCTTTCCCTAAAATCTTGCTAAGTTGAATGAAAATGATTTTAAAACCATTTTTCTTGCATTCATGTAGCCGTAACATTTAGAGTTTAACAGGACATACTTGCTCAGCTCTTCTCTATGTCCCTGTGTGGATGAGGGACTCAAAGCTCAGAGATTTTGTAACCGCAGGTAATGGCACTTGCTTAAAACAATTGTTTTCATGGTAAAAGGTTTTTGTTTTGTTTTTTAATAGACCTATTAAGAGGCTATTTATAATCAATATCATAGTTGGCTGAATTGGCATTTTGAAAAGCTTTTGAATTGTATTTATCATTAACAATACATAAATACCTGAAATTCATTTTGAAAACAGGTAAATGTATACGTATATGTGATTAGCAAAATTTGTTTTCCTAAACATTTCTAGCATACATCATACATATCCTGGCTAGGTAAAACTTAGCTTCAAAAAATGACATAACTGATTATATTTCAATTTTTAAAATAGTTTACCACAAATAAACATTTTATATTTTTTGACCCACTAAAATTGCTAACTCTAATTTATTTCATTCTGTTTGTGCTGCCCCTTGAAGCACTAGGATTAGCCTCATCTCCCTGATGTTCAGTAGCTGTGTTAGTAAAAACAGCTCATACTCCAGTGGTTATATGACTAACTTAAAGCAAGAGAACCTTCCCACCCCCGCCCCCCAAAAAACCCAGAGGTACAGCATATTGAAATAGGAAGCACATGGAAACAGCCACCTTAGGGGAGATGAGAGCTACAAGGCTCTATTCTCTCCCTATCTCTCTATTCTCTCCCTTACACTTAATGTTTCAGAGATAAAAATGTGATTTTCAAATGGTACAGAAAGAAATTGAAGACTGAAGAACTATGCAGTCATTAAAATTTTCTCCATCTCTTAGCTTTCTCTTCGTTGTCTAGTTCTTACTTAATGCCTGTAATTTTTATGTTATGTGATGAAATAATACCTGCTAAACTACTTCTGAAAGTATCAATATACAGTATAAGGAACGGTAGTTACTCTTATAAAATTGCCATACTGTATATGATTCCTGATAATAAGAATGCTTGCTTCAATGTAAATTTTAAATGTTATTATGTAAGTTCTAAATTATAGACAAAAGTAGCAAGTACAGGAAAACATTTCTTCTATTTAGAACTCTTTCAACAGTTTTTATATTTGCTTAAATATATCTTAACCACGTAGGCTATGAAATAGTGCCGCTAATATACCACTTTCCACAGTGATAGTCATAAGGTTAAGTATTTATGTGTGAATATTAGTTTTTATAAAATGTTTCCAGCTTCCACAATACTTCCAAATTCTGTTTAAGGCAAAGCTATTTTAGCTGTAAATGCAGTATATGCTGTTAATCATATTTATGTAATATGTAATTTTAAAATGAATATAGATATTAGCTATATGATTCTCATTGCCTCTTATGTTTCAGGTTCCTGTGTTGTTAGGGATGCCACTGGGAACATTAACGACACCATTGTAACAGAACTCACAAACTGTACTTCTGCAGCCTGCAAATTAAACTTTACCTTTTCATCTTGTGAAAGCCACCGTTGTGACTATGGCCTAATGAATAACTTTCAGGTAAGCTTCAAATGTATATGATACATGTCTTCTCTACTTCTCCAGGGATTAGACTACTGTCAAATTAACTACTCAGAATGCAGCTGTATATTAAAAGGCAAGACTATTGTTACTTTATACCCCCAAAACTATATTATTAATGGGAAAAAGAAAAATACGGTAAACCCGAGGCTGTTTATTAGTGAGAAACTCCTTCGGGTAATGCTTTTATACTGGAGTGTAACTCACAGTGCATGTGTGTATGTGTAGATAAGTGCGCTGGATGAGAGAGCGAGGGGGCGTTTGTGAAGCCTCTGCACATGGTCCTCTTGGTGCGGTCTGTTTTGGGATTCTCTGTTCTGTTCCAGTGAGCTTTGTGTCCATCTTTTCATAGCATCACACATTCTTGATGGCAGTGGTCTTCAAGTCAGCAGGATTGTATCTCCTACTGTACACTTTTGCTAAACTGTTCTTACAATTTTAGTTTCTTTGCCTTACTTAAAAAGTCTGAAATAACATTGTTTATGTACAAAATATCTTTCTGAGATTTTGATTGAAATTGTATTAAACTTAGGTGTCAGTTGAAGAGAATAGCAATGTTGAATGTTTAGGCCTTCTACATTTATTTATATCATCTTTCCTTTCTTTCATCAGTATAAGTCTTGTACATATTTCGCTAGATTTACACCTAACTACTTCAGTTTTTAGTATGAGTTTGGATCTATACTAACTGAAATGAGTTCAGTTTTCTAATCACTGCCATTTCCACAGTAGCATTATATGTAAATTTTTTTTTTTTTTTTTTGTATTGGTCAATCTCAATGATGTTTGTAATTAGATACAGCCCATGTAAAGTCCCATGGTACCAAACCAGCAGTCTCCAACCTTTTTGGCAGGGACCAGTTTCTTGGAAGACAGCTTTTCCATGGGATGGAAGTAGAATTTGAGTTTTGTTATTTTTTTAATTAGTATATGTTTGTGATACATAATGGTTACATTCCCCATCCCAGCTTCAGATCGTTAGGCATTAGGTTCTCATAAGAAGCTCAACCTAAATCCCTCACACACACAATTAATAGCAACGTTCATTCTCTGGTGAAGATCTGAGCCTCTGATCTGACAGGCAGCATCAGGTGGGAATGCAGCTGAAAGGAGTAGCTGTAAACATAGACAGATCCTCACTCACGTGCCACTCACGTCCTGCTTCTGCTGTGTCGTCCAGTTCCTGATGGGCCATAGGCTACCTGGGAATTGGAGACCTCTGTGCTAAACCACTGTTGCACAGAATTTAATTCTGAATAGATATATGAAAAGTTAGCAAGCTTTCAATGTGTATGAACTATGTAAAAAATTAGTATTCTCAGGTTTTGCAGTTCTGTTTAGTACCTCTATTAAGATAGTAGAAGTAAAATAAAAGTTTAGTGTGTCAAATGTATAATTTAGAAAGATTTAACTGAAGAAAGCTTATATAAGTGAATTTGAGAGCAGTTTGTCAAGTCCTAGGATAGTAGAAAGAATAATACAAACACATAGATTCAGAAGATTAAAACAAAACGCTGGTAAATGAGTATGTGGTTCTGCAGATTCTAGGTAAGAATTTTGCTTCCCATAATGAACAAAATAATTTTACAATCTGAAAATACTGAGAATTCAGTGTGTAGTGTAGAATATGTAAAGGTTATAGATTTTTAACTGAAACTATCATTAGCATTTTTATTTTTTATTGAATGATTTCAAGCAATTGACCACACTTTTAGTAGCTACAAAAATTGGACACGATTATGTAATAAAAGGCTTTGTTTTCTAGTCACAAGACTAGGCAAAATTGTAGGAATGAAAGAAAGTATTCATGTGAAGCTAGTGATTCAAGCCAGTTCCGACACTGATATCGTGCATGAAAGGCGCAAGTGCCCCTCTGCCCAGTGACGGAGCACTAGGCAGATTTCTGCATTGTTGCCTTAAAATACAAAAATGTTCTCTTTATCAAGTCTAGTATGAACGCACTCAAGCAAAGAAGAGTTTCTTTATAAGTAAGCTCCTTTTCAACTTAAGTAAATACGTTTTTTGAGCCGTTAGAGGTGATAATTAAAAGCTAATAGAAGGAAAAATAATTTTTTGACGACGAAGCTACAGTGTTGTAATTATACAGTGATGCTTATGGTGTTGGTTTTGCCATTGTCCAGCAAAGTAGGATGTTTTGTATTCTCCGTTCCTCGTTACTTAGCTTATTTCGTTATTTAGCTTATCCATCCTTGTACTTAATTTAACTTTGAGATCATGTGCAGAGGAATGGAATTTTGTATGTTTAACAGAAATTTGGTCTCATTTTTTAATTGTTGCTTACTTTATCTGTCCTTTACAATGCCTTTCTTAAAGGTAGAGTTGGCACTGCTAGATAACCCAGCTTTAATTATGGTGAGAAATAGTTAGTGATTATGAATAATGGATGGCATATAGGAAACTACTAGATTGTTACTGAAGGGTTGACCAGAAAATTATCTTTTTAAATGTTTTTCTCCCAAAGCTCCCCATAGAGGTTGATGCTAATGTTTCTTAAAACACTTAAGAATTGTTTGTAAGTCTACTAGAAGATGCAGAGAAAGATATTTTAAGTAAAGCAAGGTGATTTTTGTACACATGAAATCAGACTTACGTATCAGGGCCAGGAACCTTGCACATAGCTAGCTTTGCACCTGTTTGTACTAACTCAAGCGTGTGACTGTCATAAACACCAGATTTTCTTAACTCGGAGGCCTTGGTTGGCATAGTCCTACTCAATATAAATGAGACATAAATACCCATTAGTGAACTAATGAGTTAGGTGATCATATTCATTGCTGGGAAATTTATAGTGGATAGGTCAAGCTACCAAGTAGCTGCTTCAGCTTAATTTTGTATTTTGAAAAATTTCAAAGATACAGAAGGAACTCTGCAGTGAATACCTATGAGGCTTTTTTTGTTTTTGTTTTAGCATTACTGGGTATCAAACCAAGCAAGTTAGGTGAGCTCTGAACCACATCCTCAGCTCTTTTTATTTTTTCATGAAGATACAGTCAGCAGACTCTACGGGATCGCTAAAGGAGAAATCACATAAAAGTAATAAATAAAATGAAAATGAAGTGTGTACCTGTAGATTAAAAAAGACTTAGCTAAAGAAACATCAACAAAATTAATCTTTTTGGAATCCTTATTTAAACAAAATCTTAAAAGATCAGGAAACAGTACCACTGAACATGTACTGTTAGGGAATTACTAAGTTTCAAACTGGGGCAGTGGCAGTATAGTTGTAGTTGTCAGGTTGTTTGTCTGGTAGAGACATGTACTGAAGGGTTTATGCGTTAAATATCGGGGATTTTTAAAAAATAATGTGCAGATTGGCCCAAGTTCATCACTATTAAAACGTGGTGATGGGTGATTGGGAGTACCTTAGGCACTTTTTCAACCCTTATGTGTATTTATAATCATATGTAATAAAAGTATTTTCTTAAGTGTTGCTGGTAAATCTGTTTCAGAAATTTTAATGTACTTTCTATTATATTGTTTATTGTCCAGTTATCCCCAGTATTAGTTGTCTTTATTAGAGTAAACAAGTTGTGATTACATGACTATGTGTTATTTTTCAAATTGTTTCTAAGACTTATTTTCCATGTTTGTCACTCTTATTTAAGGTAATGAGCATGGTGTCAGGATTTGCACCATTAATTTCTGCAGGTATCTTTTCAGCCACTCTTTCTTCAGCATTAGCATCTCTTGTGAGTGCTCCCAAAATATTTCAGGTAAGTATTTTCATATTATGGGCCTTTACTAGGGGAAAGTAATTTTCAACTGGAGTATTCCACAGTATTTTTCAACTGGAGAGTTGCTATTTTCAGATTAGCTAGAATTAGTATGAGACTCGTGTATGCTATGTACATGTGCAAGTATATCATGATTGATACAAATTTTGTGTAGATGAATGGTATGTTTATACAAGTACTTGTACATTTATGTACTGTCAAGGTAGTCTTCGGGCTGGGTGTGGTGGCATTTTCCTATAATCCCAGCTAGTTAAGAAGCTGAGGCAAGAGGATTGCCAGTTGAAGACCAACCCAAGCAACTTAGCAGTACACTGTCTCAAAATAAAATTTAAGAAAGGACTGGGAATATGGCTCATGTCTCATACACTAAGCAATCCTCAGCAAGATAGATAGATAGACAGATATCTGTAAGTTGTCTTTTTAGAAATGATAATGGATTGTTAGAAGTGCAGTGTAAGACAAAATCAGAAGTGGTAAAGTATCTTGTCAGAATTAACTTGGCACTAACATGTTTTATTTTACAAATATTTGAATGTCTAATATTTTGCACATTGCTTTAACTGCTAAAGGGTACAGTGATAAATAGGATAAATGTCATTTCCCTCTAGTAAGTATTAAACAGTTGATAGTGATTAGGAAATAATTTTTATGACTAATCAAACAAGTGAAATGTTGATTCTTTAGCCTTGTTCTTAGTGTTATAGCCACTAACTAAAAATGCGTAATAGACTTTTTAAAACCATATTCAGTAATATTATAAGAAAAGTGATTAAGTTTTATATAATTTTCTGTTTTAAGTTTATAATTTCAACTTGGTTTTCAAAAGGTAGAACACACCTATGTCATAGTTATCAATCTTCTAACTTACCTTTATTATGCTTCTGTTTGTGTGCCTGCTTCTCTGATTCTTTTGTCATAAACAGATAAATTTTTAACATGGGTGTGAGGTAAACGACAGATAAAAATTTAAGCAGTATTTTAAACCAGGTACCATTCTAGTGTTTGAAATGTTTGAATGTCCATTACCCTTTGTAGGTGAAGCACTCTAAGACAAGGAAGAAAGAGGATGGGAATCAGAAATTTGGGTTCCATACCTGATTAAACTATTGTACATTTATATGTCTAATTCTGATATATTTCATTTTTATGTTTGTATGTTTTCATTAGGCTCTTTGTAAGGACAACATCTACCCAGCTTTCCAGATGTTTGCTAAAGGTTATGGAAAAAATAATGAACCTCTTCGTGGTTACCTCTTAACATTCTTAATTGCACTTGGATTCATCTTAATTGGTTAGTGTATAAATGGTGTATTAATGCAGAGTTTAATGCATTTACAGTAATAGGTCTGAACATAAATTACTAACAAAGTGTTTACCTTGCTTGGTATAGTAAGCTTATTTCCTTTTAATCAAAAAAAATTAATGTATAAAATATTGCAAGCACTAGCATTCAATAAATATTTTCTAAATTTACTAGGATTGCTAAGTCCTCATCAGGGATAATGGAAACTGTTACATTTTTGTTCCTAAACCAAATGTTGTAGTGGCATAAGGGAAAGATGCTAGTGTCCACCAGAAAGGTAATACTGCCATGGATTTGATTTTTGCCTTTCATTACAAGTGAGCCTGTGGTGTTCCACTGCTCAAGAAAACATTGAAGTTTTAAGAATTTTTCAAACCCCTCAGATAAGTTAATACTGAAAGTCCAGTGACCCTGTCAGTTACTGTGGTGCTGTGTGGGAAAGTGTAATGCAGCCAGGCATATATTTGATTTAGCTGATTTTGGAGAACGAGTTGTCAGCATGCAGTGAGGTTCTTATGTTCCAGAAGTTCTCTGACTGGGTATGCATTTCAGAGAAACTTACAAGGATGGTTCTGATACCATGATGTAGTGCAAAAGGGAAGCAACCTAAATCAGATAAGAATGAAGCTACAAGGTAACATACGACAGTGAGAAAAAGAAAAACAAACAAAAAAACTTGTTTTTCACATAGTAATATGGATGAATTTCAGACATAACAAATAAACAAGATCAAATGAAGAAAGCTACATACAGTGTGGTATTAATTATTTCACTTTGCAAATACCCCAAACAAGCCTATGTAATTCAAGACTACATATGTATTATATGTGTAGGCTGTAAATAAATAAAATGTGATTGTAAGGAACATACCAAGTTTAGAATAGTGAAGTATAAGGAGATTTCAACCGTATACGTAAAGTTTGGTTCCTGAAATGGGTAGTATATGATGTGTTTGTTGGCAAAGTGCCAACATTTAATCTAGATGGTGTATACAGGGGCATTCACTACTGTATTACCTAAAAGTTTGAGTATTTCATAACTTTAAAAAGTGACCATCATTAAATTTATGTTATGTTTCTTTTGCAGCTGAACTGAATGTTATTGCTCCAATTATCTCTAACTTCTTCCTTGCTTCATATGCATTGATCAATTTTTCGGTATTCCATGCATCGCTTGCAAAATCTCCAGGTGATTTTCCTTTTTTAAAAATGTTTATAAGTGTATTAATTTCTTTCATTAAAAAAAAACTTCCACACATTTTTAAAGTTGGTGTGTGTGATTAGCTCATTAACACCTTCCTACCGGCTTGAACCACCGATAGTGTACACATAGCTTCTCCATCAGGCAGCTTAAGCCATAGAGGCACAGCTGCCTGCCAGGACAGTCGTACATGCATGCCCCATCGTGTATGTGTCAATGCTCAGTTTTCTTTTGTAAGTAAATCAAGTTACATCTTCAAAGATTTCTTTATCATGAAGTTCACTAATGTTTTCTTAAAGGATTTAATATATGTTGAATTAATTTTTAATTCTAACATTGTGAAAGAATTTGTATTTTAAGAATTCTTTTCTACTGTGTGGCTGATTCTGAGTTCTAAGAACATTACTGTGATACAGTCACTTAAAAAATTGTTTTATTCTGAGAATAAAATCCAGAGCCTCAGCCATATTAAGCATGTGTTCTATTACTGAGCCTCCCAAAACATTTTTAGCATGATGAGCTGTAATGAAAAGGAACTTTTGTGAACTGAGACAGTATGTGGGGCTTTGTTACAGACCAAGGCAGCGGTTAGAAATCAGGGAAGGAGGTGAAAGAGCAGAGGCGGCCCCTCCAGGTTCTGTCTCAGCGCAGGAGGGGGAGTGTGGAGGCTGTGGGAACAGACACTTCAGCTTCAGTTTTTAATGAAATTTCACTGGAATCATTTTTTAAAATATTTTGAGATATAGGACTACATACCAATGAAAATTTAAGAATATTTTGTCTTCAGCATTTTTAAAAAGTGCTTATTCACTAAAAGGGAAGGTGTTTTACTATACTCCATGCTTAGATTTTCTGACAAGTGGATGAATTTTTAATGATTTTCATGAAAAGTTTTATTTACAGTGTTGTATGTATTTGTTAGGACATGGCTATGTCTAATGCTAAAAGCAAAAAAAAAGCTATACCCCTGCTGACTCAATTTGAAGCCTTCATTTTTATACTGTCCCTAGGTTTTAGCATTCATTAGTTTGATGTACAATGTCTTGTGAAGTTTATTGACTACAGACCTAATAAGATACAATAATACAAAAAATAGATTTACCATATTTAAAGCCATCAAAAATTGTAAAGAATTGTGGTCAGTAGCAGTCTTTCACTTTACGGTTACAGTTGATGCTTAAATTCTTCAGTGTGGCAGCCATATAGTAAATTATTTTGTGTGCATATATGCATAAAGCAAATGAATAATCTGAGTGACTTTGTCTGTTTATTATTCTTAGGATGGCGTCCTGCGTTCAAATACTACAACATGTGGATATCACTTCTGGGTGCAATTCTTTGTTGCATAGTGATGTTTGTCATTAACTGGTGGGCTGCATTGCTAACATACGTAATTGTCCTTGGACTGTATATTTATGTTACCTACAAAAAACCAGGTTAGTAGCCTTTGCTATTTAGTATTTCAAACTAAGAAATGTCTAAAAGTTCTTCATGGGTTTTCATATTTAAGAATTCATCTTTTGTGTATTTGAAAGGTACGTATGCATAATGTAAAATACTTCATTTACAAATACATGTACTTTCTGTTTTTCAACAAAAAAAACATGAGTTTAATGAAATTACTTAGGCTATTTATTACAGTGGAATTCCATTCTTATCCATAAGTTAAATTTAACTAATCCTATTTGTAGAAAAATAAGTTAGTATAATTAGCATTCTGTTGGTAAATCAATGTATTTTAAAATTATTCTTTAAAAGAATGCAGATTGTATTGTAGTAGCTGTCAGCCTAATAAGCATACATAGTACCTGTTTTGGTCTTAGAGAACTATAGTAGGTAACATGAAAGTCACAAAATTATAAAAAACATAATATGCTTCCCACTAGGTTACAGTGTAGCAGGGAACTGTGGACAGACATGTTTTAACTGAGAAATAATCAGTGTGCCATGTTGGTAATGGCCAGGTCCAGTGTGTCTCCATGCAAAATGGTGATGCTACAGTATGTTAGCATTGGTTCAGTTTACAAAAGAAAGATCTCACAAAAGTTGGGAAAGTTTGGCCTGGTAGGAATTACTTAGGAAGAGATTATAAGAGTAGTTGGAACACAGTAGTTTTATTGACCTGGTAGGAATTACTTAGGAAGAGATTATAAGAGTAGTTAGAACATAGCAATTTTAAACAGTTACAAAACATTTTTAATCTAGATATGAAATAATGAGGTTTTGGATTAAAGGCATGGCTGTTGAAATGAAATGGACAAAAAACTTACAAGTCTATAAATTGACATGTGTAAAATTGTCATTTGGGGTCTAACTTGTTTATTCAATAACAGATGAAATTTTCATGATCCAATATCCTGAACGGCTAAGTATTATAAATAGCCCTTCTGATCTGTTTACATTCAGATTTGTGGCTACATAAAACAGTAATTTTAAAATGCTTTGTTGTTTGAAAAGCTCCTGAGTTACATGCACATCTTTTCTAAGGTCTTTGAGCATGGTCATAGATGATTATAGTTTTAATATCATGCTATATACACTTGTACCATTGAAAGAGTACTGTATTTTAGCAGTTGATGTTTGAATATTAAAGTGCTGTGTGATTTCTCTGTGACTCTTTAATTGGCTATCATTGATAATTATCTTGCCTGGATGTTGTCTCCCCACAGATGTGAACTGGGGATCCTCCACACAAGCCCTGACCTACCTGAATGCGCTGCAACATTCAATCCGTCTTTCTGGTGTGGAAGACCATGTGAAAAACTTTAGGTATGTGATAAGGCAACACAGAGACACTTTCTTTCATCTGGCCAGTTAGTTTTTTTTAAACTGTTCTCAGTACCATTTTCATATGTTAGTTGTAGAGGTTTCTCATTTGCAGACTTTGAAGTGATAAGTAGCATAAGGTGAAATTTTATTCTGTCCTCTGTGGGCATTAATGTTTTTAGATATATATTAACTATATAAAAATTTCATAAAGCTTTTTGATATATTTAATTTGACTGTTATTCCCTTCTTATCAGTAACTGGAAACTAGTTGCAGTGATTTTTAAAAAATCATTGCTTTACAATAGTAAGCACTTAGGCTGTATTTTCTTCAATAAATGACTTCAGGTATACTTTATGAAAATTGTTTAACACATTTCTAATAATTGATGGTATTCACTTCTTAAAACACTACTGATACACATATTTCTCTAAAACCAGAAATATTGTGTACCTCTATATATTGTTAAGACATTATGTCATTATTTATACTTAGTTAAAACTTGGTTTGGTGCTTGGTGTGGTGGTATATCCCTGTAATCCCAGCGCCTGGGAGTCTGAGGCAGGAGGATAACAGAGAGTTTGAGGCCAGCCTGGGCTACATAGTGAATTCAGGGCCAGCTTGTACTACATAAGGACATCCTGTCTTAAAAAAAAGAAAGCCCCCAAAACCTAGTTTTGTCATTTTCAAAAAGCTGATCATTAGGCAACAATTCTTAAATTGTTCAAATTAAGTCTGGTTGTGACCAGGTGACTCTCTTTAGTCATGAGTAACTACTGCTCAATGGTTTCTGCATAGTAAACACAGAAATCTGTTTCATATTTCTCAGTAAATCAAAAGGGAAAATGTTTAAAAAGTAATATTTTGAGGAATTAAATGCCAGAAAGCAGTTACTGTACCCAGCTTCTCCTAGCAAGAAAAGCATGTGTGCACCCTTCCTGTTGTCTTTTTGAACACCTTCCACACACACAGACACAGTCATTCTCTTCCAGAATGAAAAATTTCTAGAGACCACAGCTTTGCAGTGAGAGAAATGGGGAAAACAAAAAGGAAGAAGAGCCCTGAAAGGGAAAACCTCAATTTCAGCATATTTTGGATAGTTGGGGCCAGATATGAGAGAAAAATAGAAATTTTGTGTCTCATAACCGTATGAACAGGAGTCAGAAGTTACTCTGCTATCAGAATCTGTTAATTTGGTTTATTATAAGAATGAGAACATTTAAAGATTTTTTAGTCTGTTTGACTTTCTAATTTTCATCTGAATTATGAAGGAACATAGTATAAAGAAGGAAACCAGTGGACACAGTTTATCGTGAAAGTCAGCACTTGCTTCACCCCACATAGCCCTGTTTTGTACCATAAACAGCCACATTCAACTCCAGCAGGCTTTTTGTAGTTTTTTAGTATTTACCTCATAATCACCATGCTTGTCTTGCTGCATTTTTAAAATTTTTAATCTTAGGCATCATCAGTTGATGTCCTTGATTTACCTGGGCTAAACATGTATATGTACTCACATACCAGTATTTTTTTGTTCTTATTTTGATTAGATCATATTTGGTAGTTAAGTTTTTTTTGACGTTTTAAACATGATTAAAAGTTGAGTCCGGTAGTAAATCCTGATTGCTCTTTCATGGCTACACAACTTTTTTTGTTTTCTCTGAAGCTAGTCATTTTTTTCTGATTAACTTGCTATTTACCATTATCTTTGCCTTCATCACATTTGCCAAAAGATTTTGTTTCCTTCACCTGTAGTTTCTGTAACCTTTAACTTACTTTTCCTTTTGCTGTTTCTTTAATTTGGGTTCTTGAATTCAACTTTGTCTGAAGTGAAGTATTTATTTGTAATCTTTGGTGCAGAAGATCTGCTTCGGGGAGTAGGTCTTGTCAGTGAAGTCCTAGATGGAGATTAAGAGGGCTTTGCTCCTTTTTTGAGGAATTTAAGTCATTTTAAAGATTTTCTTTGCAATCTGATAACATTTCCCAGAAATGGATCTTTTGCTTCTCTTCTGTGCATGAAGAAATATAGCAGAAAAACAGAAATTACTCTTACGTAAAATTATGCGTCTCATAACTGTATGGACAGAAGTCAGAGTTAACCTTCCTCTTCTGTGTGCTCTTCCTGTGCATCATTCTGAGAGTCAGGTGGAGAGTGGGTTTGGAAGACTCTGGGTTCTGTGTATAAATGTTCTGCTACAGATAGCTTCCTGGTCGGGCATGGAAGGACTGTAATCCCCGTACTTGGGAGGCTGAGCGAGAGTTTAAGGCCAACCTGGTGTACATAGCAAGACCCTGTCTCAAAAAACGAAAAAAATTAAAATAAGTTACATCTGCCCTTACCTGTTACCAGTGTTTTCCAGGCTAACTAGTTTTCTTTAGCAAATAAGCGAAATGGGATTGGGGAAGACCAGGTACAGTGACCTATCATAGTGATAGAAATGATTTGATTCTAGTTGCTTCTTACACAAACTTTAAACCAGTCTTACTTTCTGTCCCTTCGTTCCTGCTGCTTCCAGAGGTACCTAGTGCTACCAGCATCTAAGCATTTTGATGATTTTTACATGTGAAATCAGCAAGCTTCATTTGGTTCCCATACTCATTTTGGATTTACCTATTTCCTGGTTTGTCAGATCCTTTACAGTGTTTCTCTTTGCTATCTAACTTGAAGATACTTTAATATTATTTTCTCTTTATGCTTTATATTTTTGTAGATTTTGTGCTTTAATAAAACTCATAAGATGAAGATTTTCAAGGAAGGAACTAAAATCAAAGACAATTATTTGCTGTAGAGTTGTTACTCATTTCTAATATATTTTGTACTATACTTCTGTTGGTGTGATAAAACTGAGTCAAGGGGCTGGGGATTTAGCTCAGCAGCAAAAGCGCCTGCCTGGCAAGCGCAAGGTCGTGAGTTCGGTTCCTGGTACCAGAGAAAAACCAAAAAAAAAAAACTGAGTCAAATTGCGTCTTTGTAGTGAGTTTACTATTTAGCACGGGTAGGGATAGGTGAACTTCTTATGGTAATAAATCATATTATTTAGGGCGTAGTCTAAATTATCATAACAGACTGAAAAATGCAGTAGCTTAAGTGAGAGATGGATAGTGTGTGATAGTCCAGAGGTACTTCATGGCAAGTGGGCAAATTTGCTGCTTTTGGTCTTTTGAAATTTGTATTACTTTATATTGTCGCACTTTGCTATTCTTTAGAAAGTGTTTTTGCCCATGGGGTCAAAGTCATCACGACATTCATCATCTTAACGAAAAGTATAAAAGAGGAGTTAGCTTCCTTTATAAAGCACATGACCTGGAAATAGGAACGCCTTATGGGCTGTAAGTCACAGGGTCATGATTAGCCACTAAGAACTGCACTGTGTGGCTGGGGAGCCTTGCAACCTACTAAGGTGAAGAAAAGGAGGAGTCCATGAGGGGCAAAGAAAGCTGAAGAGGTAGGGCTGATGTCATGAAGTAGAAGTAATTAGGGTGATATCAGCTGTAATTAGGAGAGAATTAACCTGTTTTGTACATGAAGGCATTGCCATGCCCTCAGGAAATTTTGCAAGCTGTGTGAAAGAACCGGGGTATTTATTACTGTAGGAGATGAAAAGTTAACTAGTAAGGTAATTTCTTTGTATAGTTCTACCAGAATCTTGATATATTATATTACGTATTGTTTTAGAGGGATTAGTTGGCATGGTTGTTCCAAAAGGTTTATTTTTGCATTTCTTATATACCAAACAGGCCTGGGTAAAATTTACCTCCTGTGAGAATCTGATGCCCTGTGTCTTTAGAACAATTTCAGAAATGAAAGAGAAACAGCTTAAAAGTCATGTCCTTGTTTCCAAAAACAAACTTCTCTACTTTTATTTTTTAGACCACAGTGTCTTGTTATGACAGGTTCTCCAAATTCACGCCCGGCTTTGCTCCATCTTGTTCATGATTTCACAAAAAACGTTGGTTTGATGATCTGTGGCCATGTGCATATGGTAAGAATCAATTTTGTTTTCTGTATTGAAACATGTTAGCTCTGTGTATAACGTGATATATGGGGCTTTCTAGATTGAAAGTAATCTGCCAAACAGATATTTTAAAGTAGTTTTCTTTAAAATATTTTGCCTCTAGACAATCTCAAGTTAGCATTTTTTAAAATTTTTGACATTTTAGTTTTTATTATTATTTTAACCAGCAGTAAAAAAAAAATAGTGTAAATTTGTAAAAAATTTTATCTTAAGAGTATTTTGGTTTTGGCATCTTGGATATTGGGAAAATTGCTGCCTTAACTGTTCTGCATAAGAAACTAGAATATTTGTCAGATTGACTCTTTTCCCAAGCTCCATTGTTCATCTAATTTTGGTGCCAGAAATTTACACTGTCCACTCCATGTCCCAGCTGTACCAAAGTTGCTCTTCTACATGCCTGATGGCAAAGTCACAGCTCTGTGTGTGTGTGTGTGTGTGTGTGTGTGTGTGTGTATGAGAGAGAGAGAGACAGAGAGAGAGAGATGGCAGAGGAAAACACTGACACATTAATGTTACCTGGACTGTGTGGAGTTTTCCGCTTTGTCTCCAAGGTGATTCATTCAAGTTAGGATCTTGAGCACAAGACATACAAATGAAGTGGTTTCCCTACCAAGAAAGATAAATTATCTTTTCCTTATTCATGTAATAGTCTTAAATATATTTTTAGATTTTGTTTTCTATATTTGTATATAACACACATGTTGCTTATCAGGATCACATGGGAACTTTGAGTTAATAAAACTCATAAGGAAAAGATATATTACTGTATTAACTGCTCACTTTTTCAGTGATATTCTTAAGTTACTGAAAACTAATAACTCAGACACTTCACCTGAACAGAAACAAACTATATAAACTTATTTGGCTCTGTGTGATCTCTCCCTTTTTAATGATTTCTAACATCTGCCATTAATTTAGGAGTAAAATGTTTTGTGTTAGTCTGTGTTTCTCTTCTTCCTCCCTTTTGCTGGCATCTGCTGTGCCTTAACCATACCACAGCACTACCTTTTTGTAATTTTAAGTATTAGGTAGAATTAAATTAAAAGCTGTCATTAGACTTCTACTCCATTATTTAGTCTCCTGGTTTCAAAGCAGCGTAATAGAATGGCTTTTATAAATGTGAAGTAGATTGTCTTGCAGCTAAAGATATTGTTAATATCTTATATTTGAAGGGCCCTAGAAGACAAGCGATGAAAGAGATGTCCGTGGATCAAGCCAAATACCAGCGCTGGCTCATTAAAAACAAAATGAAGGCTTTTTATGCTCCTGTCCATGCAGATGACTTGAGAGAAGGCGCACAATACTTGATGCAGGTAAATGCACCGGCCTTTCACACATCTGTGTTGTAGGGCTATGCAACGTCTAGAAACTTCCCCATTCTAGATTTCATTCCTCACACTAACACAAATGGTGCATACTTTAGAATATCTTTAAATACACTACTAAGATTATATGGTTTTAAATTAAAGAGACTATAAAAGTTTTGTGTTGTTGGCTGACAGCAAAGAACTTACTTAAAAATTATCTTAGGCTATTTCTCCCCTTCTATAAATACCTACTCCCTGCTGCACCCACTGGTTTTTTCTTTTTGTAAGAATGTTAATAATACCAGTCTTTAATTTTTTTTAAATACTAGTCCTTCATATTTCTTACTATTTATTTGCTAGTACTAAACTTAGATTTCTATTTCAGTTTTGTGTATGGTATAGTAGCCAGAATAGAGGATTTGGAATCAGTCCTGGGTTTAAATGCTAACACTGCCACTTGCTTGTGATGGCTTTTGAACTGAGCTAGTCACTGAACTTCTCTGAACTTCAATCTTCTCCATGCTAAAGGCTGCAGGGAGTAATAAATGTGGTTAGATGTATTCACCAACTTATTTTTACAGGAATCCATTTCTTAAAAAAAGAAAACAGCGTAACTCTAAGCTATCCGTGTAAACTGAGGGTTCATAGGCTCAGAGCATTGTCTTCGGAGCCTTTGTGTTGTGAGGAGGATAGTCACTAAGTAAGACGTCCTAGTAATGAAGCAGTGATAGACACTCATACGGGAAATTTAACATATGACAGGGGAGGGCACTGAATGGATGGGCTGGAACAGCTGATTTATGCAGGTGGTAACATAATAAAATAGATCCTTAAAGCATTTACACAAAAATCATTTCCAAATGAATTAAAAGTACTAAATATAAAACAATTTTTAAGGGACATATGTAAAATAATTTCTAACGTAGAGAAGAATTTTTTAAAAATGAAAGTGTTGAGCTATGAAGAATAGATCAGTAGTTTTTTTTCAAGTTTAAAATTTTGAACTTCTGATGAAAATGAAAAGGAAAGGCAAAGATCAAAGGAAAATAATTCTAACCTGATCAGCAAAAGAATGGTCCATAGTATATAAAAATATTAAAGGTAGTAAAAGGAAAAAAAGTAAAACATATGAGTTGAAGTGGAAAGGTAAATGACAAAAATGAAAACCACAATACAGTTTTGTTCCATACCCATCAGATGACCAAATATTATGTATACAAAGTGTTGAAAATTGTGTAGATCAAGTAGAGATCTTCAAACTGCTGTGGTAACTTAGACTGTGTAACCACTTTCGGATAGCAGCCTGAGAGACTGAATATTCCGCACCATTTCATTCTTAAATGTACACTATAGGAGACACCTCTGTACGTGTGAAGAAGGCTGTGTGAAGCTCCACAGCAACGTCAGTTGTAATAGTGAAAGACAGTTGGGAGTTACTTTAGCGGCCATGAATTAGAGAATTGAAAATCACTAGAATTTTACACAGTGGCAAAAAGGAACTATATGTAACATGGGTAAACCTCAAAAGCAACAGTAGTAGGAAAAATAGCAATTTTTTAAAAGTATTTGAAAAATATAAAGATACAAACTTTTTTAAATATGTAAGTTAAAATTTTATAAGTATAGTGTATGTATCCCTAAATAATAGATTACATAGTACAAAGTGATCATAAAGATGCATAGGGAGGGCCTGGGGATTTAGCTCAGCGGCACAGCACCTGCCTGGCAAGAATGAGGTCGTGAGTTCGATTCCTAGTACTGGAAAAAACCCACACACACAAAAAAGATGCATAGGGTGCTTTGTGTGTGTTTCACGTGTTTTTCTTAACCTCAGCAGTGAGCACATACTTTTAGTACTTTATTAATTTTATGTTTAAATGTTTCAGGTACAGTGCTAACCCTGATCATAAGGTTATTTCTAGTCGGTAAATATTGCTTGTTTTTGTACAGTTTATAGGAACATTTTGATAACCACTTTATACAGTTTATGAAGAAAATGAAAGACTGAAGTGGTTCTTAAATTTGAGCTTCCATGAGAGTCAACTGGTAGATTGTTAAACTCAGATTTCTGGGTTCCATCACCAAATGAGGCAGGTGGCTTGTGGGGAGGCCCAAGAATTTGCCTAATAAAGTTCCAGAATGCTGCTTGAGGCTGGTGATCCAGTTCTGGAACCACACCAAAGGGTTTTTGTAGTATGAATGATAATGTTGTAAAATTAGGCACAGTTGGAACCACCTAATCCATACACCCAACCAACATGCCCCAGTGGATTCTGAGTTTCAGCAGTGTCAGGCAAATAGGATAAATAAAACAGTCCCTCATATACTGCACCTGTAAGTGTGGCAAATGCAGCCACTTGGTCAGGATGCCCAGGTGTTTGACTTTATTCTAGTAGTAGAGCTGTCTGAGGAATTGTGTGAAATATCCATACTATTAGGTACCAGTTGCCTCTACAGATTTAATTGAAATAATAGCATAAGTTGTCCCTGAAATTTTCCTTTGTCTTTTGCAAACCCACTACATAAAATGCCTGTATATGTTTTTGTTTCTTGCAGTCTTTGTCAGAAAATGTTTTTGTACATTAATTTGTTTCTATAATATCATACCTTTTAGTTCAAGATACTGTTTTTAGATGATTGTGTTTTATTAGACCTTGTGCTCTTTTAATGTCTCTGTCCCTCCATTACTTTAGTTAATAATTGTAATCATCATAAGAATTTATCATTAAGCTAGCATTTGAATATCCAGCCTCCACAACAAAGAAGATTCTTTTTTGGTTTTGTTTTTTATTTTTTGGTCTTTCTGGGACAGGGTTTCACTATGCAGTTCAGGCTGGCCTTGAACTCACTTTATAGCCCAGGCTGTCATGGAACTCTCAGAGATCCTCCTGCCTCAGCCTCCCTGTGCTAGGATTACAGGCATACTACTACCATGCTCAATCCTTAACTAATATTTTTGTATGTGTTAATTGTAAGTAACATGTGATAAGTGTAATATGTGTAATTTACAAGTAAATATACATGTATTGCTGAAGAGCTTTTGCTGATGGGATATGTAATGTTTGACAGCTGTTTACTTGAAGATTTTTTATGTCATAAAAAATGATTTTGTTGAAAAGTGTGTGTTTGAAGTTATGTCCATCATATATTTTAGGCTGCTGGTCTTGGTCGTATGAAACCAAATACACTTGTCCTTGGATTTAAGAAAGATTGGTTGCAAGCAGATATGCGGGATGTGGATATGTATATAAACTTATTTCAGTAAGTATCTCTTTGATTTAGTAATTTGGTTAGTTTAGAAAATACTAACTTTGAAAATTCATGCCTTGTTTGGGATGCTGTTTATGATGCAGCCTCCTAACAGAAACATAAGAATGAAAACGAGTCAAGGGTTCAAGTTGGTGATCTGTTAAAACACCCTACCTATGTCTGCACACATAGGTGTGCGCCCACACGCACACAGATATGTGGTATATATGTATGTGTGTGTATGTTTGTACATAAACACATACGCATAGGAGAGAGAGTGTGTGTGTGCACTAAATTAGTGCGCTGTTTTATCCCCATAACTCTTGCAGAGCAGGTTCCCCAATGTCAGACCCACTGCCTTCCAAGCTGTGCAATTGTTAGTTCTCGTGGGTGTAAAGACAAAGGGCATTTCAGCACTGGTAACAGCCTCACAGGTCTAGTTTTGTTTTCCTCTCCTGCTGATTTTTGTCAATCATTTGGGTCATTCCTTAGGTTATTTACATTTCAATTTACATGTTTGTTTTTCTCACCCCCTTGATGTGCTGCATTCTGATTTACTACTCACTTTGCAGCGGTAGTTTCTGTGGTCTTTATATACAGTTCAGTGTTGTGTCACATCGCTCTTCTTGTGGTTTATCTAGTGAGTTCTTTGTACTCTGTCACTTTGTTTTGGTGGCTTTACTCTCAGTTCATGGATTTTTGTATGTATCTCTTGAATGTAATCTGCAAGCCATGGTTTTTACAACCCAGGTAATTAAATAGTTCCTCTTTTTGCCAGATTTTTCTTAGTGTTTTTCCTAGTATTATAGGATTTGGATAGCAAATATATTTATCTCAGTTAAATGAGAATAAAAACGACCCGTCGCTGTGATGTACTTGATGGAAGTGTTATCCTTCCTGTCACAGTCACTGATGAACTGAAACAGTTTGCTCCTTGGAAAGTATTTCTTGAGATACAAACAGCTGTCATTTTTAAAAGTGTATTTAACGAAATGGTCCTAAGTTGTATTTTCTCCATGAATTTGGATCTGAGCACCTTTAACTTGCTGGAGTTGTCTCTGTCACAGGAACTCCACTGTGTAGATATAACAGCAGTATTACTGCCTGCCTCATGTGGGATAGCTTATTTTCTTTGGTACTTTTGGAAAGTCTAAGGAAATAACCAAATCTCATATTCTACCTTTTGAAAAGCCTCTTTATATTGATTACTAATATACACTGTGTGATGAACAGCTAATTGTTGTTTTTAGTAAGAATAAAGCCCTGCTGATTTTGTTGGGTTGTTTCTGCTTGTTAGGTTTGCATTCATTTTTTATAAGGAAACTCACATGGGCGCTTTCTAATTCTGTACTGTGTACTTTTTGTATGTATGCACAGGGAAAGAAAAAGAGTGGAAATGGAATAAATCATTTAGACCATAGCGTTTCTTTTTTTCTTTTAAGGCTAAAAACAATGATACAGAGTAATTTAAAAAGTGAAATTTTTGCAAATAATTCTTTCCTACACCTGCGCTTTATTCTGCATTGCTTATAACAAGAGAGCTAACAGGGCACGCTTAACTCGCCTCTCTAGGGATTGAAATGAGCACTCTGAAAGTTAATATTGTATGTCAGCAGTTAAAGGACAGGTAAAATAATAAACACCCTTTGGTTTTTAGAGCCATGGAAATTAATGGCAGTTTTAAAGTAGGACGCTACTCATTCTTTTACCTTGTGACACTTCCCTTAGTGTTTTAGTTGTGATTCTAAATAATTTATGACTGACATTTAATGTGAATTCTTTTATTAGTAGTATGTAAGTTTTGCAACCACTGCCCAATTTATATAGCTTTACAGCACAAGAGTTTAGCTGTTTTGATCCAAATTCATCTTTAGGATCTATTTTTTAAATGCTTATAGTTATTTTTCTCGGTTATTAGTGAGATCTTTCAGGATACAGCTAAGAAACTTTAGCATGTCAATTAAATTTTTTTCCTACAATTCTCTTTTGACTTTAATAAATGACAGGAATGAGGTCTAGTTGTCTCTCCATAATTTAAATAGAAAAGATTTTTTCCAGCCACATGTTATACCCTAAGCACATCCTTGCATTTTCTCAGTGGGAGAAATAATTTGGTCATTTTGTTAGATTTTAACTTTTTGTTGGGTATGTAGATTTATAAGTCTGATTTTTAGAGCTGTTGTCAAGGTTTTAGTGTGTATAAATTCTTTGGAGTACTTTTTAAACCAGAATTTCAAAAATTTTTTAAAATACCCTTTTCAGAAATTTCTTCATACTCCACAACCTGCTATCATTTTCAGCAGAATACAGTTTTCTTTTTCTTCATGTATTTCTCTTGGCTTTAAGAGTATAAGCCTAAATATAAATGTGATGGGGTCTTTGTAAGTTGTTTATCCATAGTTTCACTTTCTAGGATAAAAATACCATTATTGCTTTAAATAGCTGTGTAGGTACATACACTCATGTGTTGCTCAGTGATGAGGATACATCCTGAGAAATGTTATTTCATTGTGAACAGTCATAGCATATGCTCACACAAGTCTGCGTGGAACAGCCTACCACACACCATATGAAATATATGGTCGTATATATGTAGTTTGTTAGTGACCAAAACATCTAGTGGCACATGACTATGTTATAGCAATTTACACTTTAGTTTTCAAGGGTATTAAGAAAAGAAAGGTGTGGAATTTAAACCTAACACTGTTCCTGTCTCACCAACTTTTAAAATGTATCGAAGAAAAACATTTAAAGCTGAAAGTAGTTTTAGAGATCGCCTACAGTTGCCTTCATTTTATAAAGAACATAAACAGAAATTTTTTGATTACCCCCCCTCCATAGTGATGCCTTTGACATACAGTATGGAGTAGTGGTTATCCGCTTGAAAGAAGGTCTGGATATATCTCATCTTCAAGGACAAGGTAAATTTGTTTGAAATAAAGTTTTTATTTTAAAAATATAAATTACTTTGTTAGAAAATTCTGTATAATTCTCGTGTGTTTTTCATTTAACTTTTATATCTTTTTGTGTCACAGACTCATTATATAGCATTTTAAGTTCATACCTGTTTGGAATCCACCAAACTTTCTGTTTTCTCACTGTGTCAGCCTGGATGATGATTAGTGATTAGTATTGGAGAGTATGAAATTGAATTCAAATTAAAGATTTAAGAGAAGCAGATATTAGTTATGACTGTAAATGGGCTGAATTTGTAAAAACATAAGTACAGCAATAGTGTGAGAAAAATTTTAAATGACTACTAGAACTAGATCATTATACATTCTCATATTTACAAAAGTAGTGTTTTATATTATTAATACCAATAAAAGAGTAAGCTTTTTCATAATTCCTGTGTCTGCAAGAAGACCCATAAAAATTTTTGTCATTTAAAAATATTTATAGATTTAGAGGAAGTTGTAGAAAATATTCCAAGGTCCTGTGCACTCTTTATCCAGCATTCTGGGTCCTCATGGCAACATCTTACAAAGCTATAATACTGTATCAAAACTAGAAAATTCACATTGCAACAGTATGTGGGTTTTATTCTGATTTTACTAATTTTGCATACATTTGTGTGTGTGTATCTGTGTATGTGTAGTTTTATGTCATTTATCATTTGATTTGTGTAACTACCACCATTATCAAGATACAAACTATCCCATCACTACAAAGATTTTCCCTGCAGTTCCTCTTTATAGCCCTCACCAGATTCTTGCTCTGTCCCTTATTATACTGTGTAATTTTTTAATATCAAGAGTATTAGATGGTGAGGCATAGTGGCATATGCCTGTAATCCTAGCACTTGCAAAACTGAGGCAGGACTGCCATGACTTTGAGGCCAGCCTGAGCTACACAGTGAGACCCTGTCTCAAAGAACAAAAAGCAAACAAAACAACAAGAATATTACATAAACAATACAGTGTGTAACATTTAAGTCATTGTTTAAAAGTGAAGGTTAAGACCTAATTAAGGTATAATTGGTAATTCTGCTAACTTTATTATAAACTGTGGAAAGTATCCTCCAAGGATTTCCTGATAGTTTTTTAAAAATGAAGAAAATTTCCTATTACTGATTAATCCAATCACTAGAATTATCTAAGTTTAAGTAGCCAAGATGTATATAATTTTGTCATCTGTTCATGTACTTAAACTGTTTTAGTCTTTCTCTTAAGAGTAGTAGCATATAATTTTGAAAGAAACACTTTAAGACATTTATCTTTGTAACAAAGATACCTTCTTTTGTAACAAAATTGTATGAGTTACTAAAAATGCATTTTTTTATTCTGGAGTAGACCTGGCAAAAATACTATTTAAATTTTCCCGTTGTAATAGTGATGTTTATGATAACTGACTTAAACCTTTTAACTCTGCATAATTGTAAGTAGTATTCCCTTTCAGTCAAGTATTACAGTTTGGCTAACAAATTACGTTTACCGAGGTTTGAATGCAATCGAAATACTAAAGACAGGGTGGGGATATAGCTCAGTGGCATAAGCGCCTGCCTGGCAAGCGCAAGGTCGTGAGTTTGATGCCAGGTACCGCAAAAAAAAAAAAAAAAGAAAGGTTAAAGAAATATTTTCAGATCATTTATAGTCATGAAATACTTTTGAAAATATTCATTAATAAGATTTGGATACAGGAATACAGTTGGCATCAGAACGAAGAGCACAGAGAACATAGGTGTTGGGGGCAACCAGGCAATTCTCTTTTAAAAACCTCAGCCTTCTCTTTTATTTTTGTAGCCTGGAAAAGATTGGTAACTTGTTGGCCCCAGTTTCTTTGTTAAAGCCGAGTTCACCTTGCAGAGTTGTGGTGAAGATTAAAGGGGAGATCAGCCCTGATGAACTCTTAGCGCAGTACTGGCCAGTGGGCTCCCATAGTCTGTCTGTTGTTTCTTTCTCTCTGTTCACACAAATGAAAGATAGGCATTATCAACAACATATCACATTCATATTGTATGTCTCTATGCTAAATGTTTTATCAAAGTTAAATATTCAAAATTGTCCCAAAAAGGAATGAAACCACTTAAAAATGAAATAATTTAACCATATGCTTCTTAGGAAGACTATCTCAGGTTGTCTTCCTCTTACGTGCCTGTGAACATTGGCCATGTTTTATGTATTTTTTTTACTTGTAATTAATTTTGAGAATAGAGTTTGTTTCACATTCTATGTATCATTCTTTTGTCATCCAGTCTGTTATGTGAATTTCTCTCATGACTTACTCCCTAGTACCTAGTTCAGATATCTTAGCCTCTTAGTTGTGGCTCACATATTTAAGTGAACGGTCACTTTAAACAGGTTATCACAAGTTTTTACACAAAAAATTCACATATCATTTGGATTTTAAATGTCATCTATTAAATCTGATGTCTTCGGGCTAAAATAGGATTTTAGATACTATTTTCAATATTTTCATGTCTACAGAAGAATTGTTATCATCACAAGAGAAATCTCCCGGCACCAAGGATGTGGTACTAAATGTGGAATATGGTAAAAACTCGGACTTAGACACTTCCAAACCATCTGGTGAAAAGTCTGTTACGCATAAAGGTAATTTTCATTCAAATAAGTAATATATTAATGGCAGTATTTAAATTGTGAGAGATCATTTTTATTATATAACGTACATTATAAAGTAGCCACTTCTCAAACTTGACACTGCTCATTAGTCATTTTCAACAATGGCTATAAAAGGACTAAACAGTTTTAAGGTATTAGGGTGGGTCATGGAACAGAAACCATGCCAGCTATATACTAACATGGTTTTGTGGTTTTACACTTACTTTAAAGACATTAAATCTGAACTTCGAAAGAACATAATTTTAGAATAACAGATCTCATACTGCTTGTAGAAAATTCACCCACAAATCTGTACGTCATGTTTATGAGAAAGGAAAAGAGATGACTTCCAAATCTTACTCTCCCGCCCTCACTCTCCTACCTCCGTTCAAACTCGTATCTCCGTCTGTCCTGTTCCCAGCTGACACGCAATAAGAAATCTGCACTGTAAATCGTTAAACCACAGTACATTTTTTATTTCTCTACAGTTATTATCATTCTTTTTCTGAAATAGATAAACAAATCATGTCTGTGCTATTTATCTCTTGTAGATTATTTGGAAGAAAAAGAAGATACTTTTTCTTTCTTTCCTTCTTACATACCTTGTTGCTGAGAGGAGTTGTAGTTAAAAGTGCAATTGACACCATTTTTCCTTTCAGTTCTTTGCTGGTTTGATTATCTTCTCTTTTGCCTCAAACTCCATAAAGTGATCCTGGGAACAACTCTTTATGTTTCCACATGTATGTTAGTTTATGACATACGTTCTTGCTTTTTCTCCTGTTTTTTTTCTTGTTTTGTTCATTTATTTTCCTTATAATTGATCCTTTCTCTGTAGAGTCTGTTAGGAATTAATGCATGAAGACATGTTGGAAGAACTAATATTTATGAGGCAGCTACTCTTTGCTCCCATATGTTAGTTGATGTTATCCATACAGTAGGTTATTGTTATGTTACATTTTGAAGACTAGGGTACTGGGTCAGTACATTTATTTGCTCATCTTTCTGTTGTAAAAATCAATCAATGTGCCTTTAATGTAATCATTTTTAAATGTCAATATTTCCTTGACTTTTCTGAACTCATCTAATGAATACAGGATATCCGTAGTTGTAATTTTTTTAAAAAATTATCAAAGGCAAATAATATTAAATATTTATTTTATGAGGATGGTAATGTTCAGTATTATAAAATTAAATGTATATGGTTATTTACCATAACATACATAAAGTTAGCATTCAGAAATAATGTCAACTTTATTTTTTCTTTGCTTTCTATTTAGTCTGTTCTCAAATCAGCATAGATACTGTCAAGAAGTTTGTTTGTCTTGAATTTTTTTTTTGTTTTGGTTTCTTTTTTGTTTTAGTTTTGGGTATGTTTGGGTTTTTTTTTGGTTTTTGAGGCAGGGTCTCATACTCAGAGGCTGACCTTGAATTCATAGTGATTCTTCTGCTTTAGCATCCTAGTTGCTGGGATTATAGGCATGGACCAGCTCTGTAGAGAAGTTTAAACATGTAAAAAGTATTCAGAATTAGAAACATTCTTGTGCAGTTATTACATAGTCGCAGTATTTAGTTGTGTCTGTACTGATTGTGGAGGCACTCAGTGTACACGGGGACAGGAAGAGCGCCCTTTCAGTGCATGCTTATGACAACCCTGAGCTCTGTTCCCTCAGTGCTTACAGTATAACAACTGTAAGAGGTGGGTACTGCTAACCCTGTCTGCAAAGAAAGAAGTCGAAGAGGCTCACCCAGCCAGGAAAGGGATATGAAGTAGTGCTGGAATCACAGGCAGTCCCACTGCAGTATATTCTGTCATCCAACTGGGAGTACTATGTGCCTTAAAAAAACTAATACAAGCTTATGTTCAGAGAAAAACATGGAGTTAGGAAAACTGTTAATTTTGGGGTAGAAATGATTACTACTAAATATAAATGAACAAATATATGCATATATATGTGCATATATATTTATTGATTTATTTATACTTCTGCATAACTTGGCATTTATATATAACAGAAGACTTCTATCTCTGATAAAAATTCCTCAATTTTTCAAGTGCTGATTAACTTTTACAAATACCAGATATCCATTAAATATTTCTAAAGTTGTTTTTTAGTGATTTGCACAGTGATACAGCAGCATGTTTAAAATTTATGTGTTATGTACAACGTCAGTTTATTAAAGTCATTTCTGCTATATAAGTTATAGTTTGACATTTTCTCAGCTGATTTCAAATATGAAAGTTTTCAAAATATTATAGTTTTAAATAATTCCACAGGAATAAAATTTCAGGGTGAATGTTAATCATTTACCCTGTAGTGTCTAAAATGGGTTTGCTTTTTTAAATCTTGAAAATTCAGTGTAGAAAGTATTAACCTTCAGTCTTGATCATTTTTCATGGACTGTTGTTTCATACTATGTTTTGTTATAAATGTGCTTATTTACATTTTCATTATTTTATAATGTAAAGGCAATTAACTTAATATTTTGTGTTTTTTAAACATAATCTAGATGAGGAAGAGGATGGCAAGACTCCAACTCAACCACTGTTGAAAAAAGGCAGGCATTTTTCATCATTTTATTTTAATCCTTTTTTCCATGCTGTTAACACTTTAACTCCTACCTTATTATTTTCTTTTTCTACCTTAGTTCTTATTTCAGGATGAGGTAATGATCTTTAAATGCAGATTATAAAATTATTAGTCCAAATAAAAGTTACGTTTTCCTGAAGACAAGGTGATATATCTCAGAAAAATTCTTTTAAATCATCAATAGTTCTGAAATACTCAAATCCAGAAAGTTAGTATTAATTATTTTTATTTTAAACTGCATGGTTTAGATAAGTAGGGACACTGAAATAGGCTTGTTTATTTACAGTGTCACTTGCGTTCTTTACCATCAGTTCTACCCAGCCAACTCCTCAGCTTTGATACTAATATATTTTTCATTTCAAAAATTACAATATTTCTCACAGTCTTGCTGCGTTTGGGAGATACACAGTCATGTCAGCGTACATGAATTTTATGAGCAGGAGATAGAGGTGAGAGTTACGGAGCAGTGTGGTTTGGTAGCCATATTATTTCATCATGCAAAATCATTTGTCATGTTTGCATACATCCTGGCAGCATGAAAAGTGAATGACAGACATTTTGCAAGAGATTTCCTTTTGTGGATTTCTTTTGAAGTCTTAGTATAGGAATTTCATGATAGTCATCTTGCTTGTTCACAGAACCAGTGCTGTTCTTTGTTTTTGTTCTGACTCCCTGGGAACATGCATGGGAACTCCTTTGAAATACTGTCCTTGGCACCTACAGTAAATAGGTACCCTTCCAAGGAGTCCCACCATCTTTCTGTGGTTAACAGAAAGATGTGGTGATCTGTCTTTAGAATTGGGCCACATATTGAGAGGACACACAAAAAAGATAAAAGATGAGGGGAAATTTTTCTCAGACCAGGGTTTCACTGTGATGATTGTACATGTATTTGTATGTCTCCAACTTCCTTCTGTCATTTATGTTACAAATAATTTTTTATTTAAAAAATACCTTTTGAGCTTTATATTACTGAGATACAAGTTCAAAAAGGAAATACTCTTTCAGAAATATTTTTTATTTATCCATTTAGCCTGGAATAGCTTTCCAGAAAACCAAAATCTAGCAGTCAAGTACAATTTTTGATTGGTACTTGTGATTCTCGTACGTTTATCAGAATACTTCAAAATACTAGAAATTAGACAAGATAATTCAAATGAATTTAGTTGTGATATTTATATGTAGCTATTTTAAAGTATATTTAAATTATAAAAACTTGCAAGCTTATGATGGATGCCATATACTATATGCATTATGAGCACACTTGAATATATAAAGTAGGAAAATTGTAAGAATTAAGCAAAAGAGATTTAATACTTTCCATACATCTATTTTTTCTGCTTAATCCTTTAGAATCCAAGGGCCCTCTTGTACCTTTAAATGTAGCTGACCAAAAGCTTCTTGAGGCTAGTTCACAGTTTCAGAAAAAACAAGGAAAGAATACTATTGATGTCTGGTGGCTTTTTGATGATGGAGGTAAGATCATTGATAAATTTTCTAAATAATTTAAAATTTACTAAACATAGAAGACTGGTACTAAGAAATGGCATAGGCTTTTTACTCATCCTGCACTCTGTCCAGGTTGTACCACCGGGCTCAGACAGCAGCAGAGTTAGCTAAGAGTTGGGCAGTGGTCAGGTCTGTTGAGGTTTTCATTATGGAAGTTGCTCAGTCCTGGAGGTTTACCCCGTAACATTTAACATTACAAGCCCTTGTGTGATGGTCCCTTGGTTGAGAATGATATTCAATGTTTTGTAGTTTCAAGTTGTGTATTTTTGGCAGAAATGTCACAGTAGCAGTGCTGTGCTCTTATATCTGTATTTCCCTAGGGGACACATGGTGTTGATTTATTCCATCACTGAGAGAGTGTACCTTCACCCTGGAGTAGGGTGTTTTTCTACAGATTTACCCACTGAAAAGTTGCTTTTTCCTTCTCTTTATGACTACAGATATGGTGATTCCCTCGAAGCTGTATAAGCTATATAAAGCTATATATAATGATTTTACCATCCCATCATCTCTTTCTCAGTTATTATTAGCATTTACTGAAAGGAAGAGCGTTCTCTTGTTGTTTCTATCAATGTGTGCTTAGTGATTTATATTTACTAATGGGGTACAATTTGTTGCTGTCATTACTGTTAGAGTTGTCCCCGATTTAGCCAGCAGCATCCTCATTGACTAACTGCTGTAAACCATTTGTCATGGTGCAGGCATCTGTGGGTTCCTTTCTGACAGAAGATGATATTCCAGCTCAGTTACGTAGTTTTGTAGTTTCCCTGTACTGGCCATGAAAAAGAACCTTTACCCAAGGAGCTCTGCTACCTTTCCTAGAGAACAGTATTAAGAAGTAAATAGTGAATGGGGCAGTAGATACACTGCAGCTACTAGGGTATCGGTGGTGCAGGCTTCTCATGGACAGAGCTGAGAAGTAGATAATGTCTGTGTTATCTGTGTGCCTGGAGACAGAGATTGAAACCAACTCCAATCCAGCACCTTCCTTTTCATATTTCTCATTTCATTGTGAAACCTGGCTCCCAGTAAGGACAATAAATATATTCATTTCATTTCTTCAGTCCTTCTATATGAGACTAATTTCCTGACTGCCAGACTATTGTCCTATATTGCTTTATTCAAAAAGCCATAACTATAGAAGGTTTTCTCCTTGTTTAAGCCTGCCTGTCTGATAGCTTTTTGACTGACTTAAGAAATGATGAAAGAATTTTGTTTTATAACAAGATGTAAGTATGCCATTCCCTGCCTTTTATTTAAGTACCTTGAATAAAAAGTTACTGATTGAGATATTAGCATTTAGTAAATGACTTGTTCTATCTTTAATTCAGGTTTGACATTATTGATACCCTATCTTCTGACTACCAAGAAAAAATGGAAAGAATGTAAGATCAGAGTATTCATTGGTGGAAAGATAAACAGAATAGACCATGATCGGAGAGCGTAAGTTTATTTTAAATTGGAAGAGCATTAATCTAGTAGCACTTTTCTATCACAATATAGGTTTGATAGGCTGAAAACTAGACAGTCTAGAAAATATAAATCATGTTGTTTTGTCCTACACTGAAGCTAATAAAACTTCGTTCAACCCCTGCCCCCCCTTGCCCTTTGGAGACAGAGTCTCAGTATATAATCCAGGCTGGACTTGAACGCATGGAGATCCTCCTGCCTCAGCCTCCTGAGTGCTGGGATTGCAGGTGTGCACCATCACTCCAAGCCTCATTCTCTTTCATTTGATCTTCATATTTAAGATATAAACACTTAATTTTACTTAGATTTGATATTTATAATAGATTGACATTTTAGGTCTTTATTAAGCCCTTGTGGCTTTAAAGCAGCGCTTTTTTTCCCTTTTCATCAAAGGACATAGTACATCAGAAATAACGTTCATGTACAGGGTGCCTGGTGTGGACTGTGAGACCGCAGCAGTGTGGGTGCTCCTGTGTGCCCTGCTCCTCTTCATCTGCAGCGCCACAATGCCAGCTCTGTCTTTGGTGCCTACGACATGCATTCTCGTCCCTTAACCTTGGCCTTTCCTTCCCATTTCATGTGGGGAGCAAAGTTTTGGCCATCTGATTCCTCCACCAACGACTTCTCCATGAGCTACTGTGGACAGTACACTTGTCATCTTGTGGCAGTCAGGGCCCTTGACAGTCCGCCCGCCCATTCCCTCTGTGCTTACCTGGCCTTCCTCCAGATGAGCCTGGGCTTCGGTGTGCACCTGTGCAAGCGCGTAGCACTGCTGTGGCTTCAGCCTTTCATGGCTTTGCCTCCTCCTCAGCTGTACATAGTTCGTCACTTGCTCCCCTCTGCCACACACCTCTGTTTAAATAGTCCATTTGTTAAAGCCCCGTGTAGTTTTTCAGAACACAAGATCCTGGTTTATATCTGGTCTCCTTCTCCCTCCCTCACCCCTAATTATTTGCTTTTATTTCTTCCTTTCTTTAAATTTTTTTGACTTTGTTTTTGAGACAGGGTCTCACTATGCAGGTCATGCTGGTCTTAAACTCACTATATAGCTCAGGCTAGCCTCAATTTACAGAGATCCCCCTGCCTCAGCCTCCTAAATGCTAGGATTACAGTCATATACCACCATGCCCAGCCGTAATTGTTTTCTTTCTGAGTCACTGTACACTTGATGCCACACTTACCTTTCTGGCTTGTATTTATTTTCTTTTTTTTTTTTTTCCCCGGTACCAGGGATTGAACTCATGACCTTGCACTTGCTGGGCAGGCGCTGTGCTGCTGAGCTAAATCCCCAACCCCTGTATTTTCTTATATTTGAGTTTGTGGGCTCTGTAGTATTTAGCATATTATACTATAGGCTATTAGATGCCAAAATTCATCTGAGTGTTTATTCATATTCAACAGTGACGTATCTAAGAAATCTTAGTGATGCATTTAGTAGTTAAACCTATAGCACATGTGTTTTCTGATAAGCATTCTTATGGGAAAAATAATCTGAAAATAATTTTAAAGCTATTTACTGTTTTTCTTTGTAAAGCTATATCCTTACTGATATAATTTAACTACCACTAGCTTTAAAAGCTAGTTGCCATTCAAATTGTATTATTAATGTCTTTCTCTGTCCACCCATTCATTATTAGATACAAAGAAGAGATTCATAGAAAGTAAAAGAATGTAACAGTAGTAGTGTTAGGCAATTTAGACATCTTCTGTGTGAATGAGCACTGTGCATTAGTTTACCTCATAGTGCTTTCCTGTAAGTCATGCTTTTGTTTATTTTGTTTTGTGTTTTGAGATAGGGTTTCACTATACAGCTCAGCCAGTCCTTGAACTTGCCATGATTTTCTTGCCTCACCCTCCTGAGTGCTGGGATTATAGGCATGCACCACTACGTCCAGCCATGTTTTACAAACTAGTGTTTAGTTTCTTAATATTTAGTATTTAGGGTTTTTTTCCCTGCTTTTTTTAAATTACGTAGATTGAGCCCTATGTAGGATAAAAATATTCATGCAAACCTTTCATGTATCTAAATGCTATTCACTTGTGTTGTAGGATGGCTACTTTGCTTAGCAAGTTCCGAATAGACTTCTCCGATATCATGGTCTTAGGAGATATCAATACCAAACCAAAGAAAGAAAAGTAAGTTGTTGGATACATTCTGTACAAATTTTGAGCCCTTTTATGAATGGCCTGTACAGATAATTGGACTTAATGACTTGAGTATTTTCCTCCTGCTTTAATATGAAACCAATTGATAGTTGGCTCTCTAATAGTAGATACTAAGGTAAGTGTCTTTGTTATAGTAGCACTTTTGGATCCAGAAATTCTAAAATTTTTACTGTCTGTCCTTTCCTCCCTTGAAAATGTTCTTCTATATTTTCTTGTGTTACTTTCACTTATTGGTATTTGAGTTGTGAAAGCTCTTGGTGTTTTGAGGAAACAACTTTGTGCATTCGAGATGAGCACTCTACTACTGAGGTACACCCCTGGCCCACACAGTTCGACTTACTCTTCAAAGGGGTCATTTTGGAACTGTGCTATATACTTTGCTTAATTTGAGAAGGTGGCCACAGGAGCACAGAGAAGATCTACACTAGTTTCAGTTTTATTATTGTCATTGCAGTTCTAAGTTTCTGAGTTCTATGGACTACAAGTAGCTATTTTCTAAAGAAATTACCAAAGTGATTATTACGGCTGCAATGTGAAGGAGCACATAATAGACAAGAAGCACTAACTTTGTTGTAATTTAAGATTTTTCCCTTACGTAATTTAAAATAGTCAATATTCTCTCAAGTATTGTAGCATTTGATGAAATGATTGAGCCATACAGACTTCATGAAGATGACAAAGAACAAGATATTGCAGATAAAATGAAGGAGGATGAACCATGGCGCATAACAGATAATGAGCTTGAACTCTATAAAACTAAGGTATTTCTGTTTCCTTTTCATTAATCTTCCATGTGCTTTAGGGGAAGAAAAAACAGAATTTTCAGAGACTCCGGTTTGACATGGGAGAAACCATTTGTGTGAATTAAATCCAGTTTAAGTCGGGCTTATATGTGAATAATGGAAAACATTTCTAAGTAGAGGAGAGATACATATTTTTATTATGCCAAAATTTATTACGGTTTGTTTTGTCTGTGTACGATTTTGTGAACTATGCTAGCTGTTGCTTGGTGCTGAAGGTTGAAACCAGGGCCTTGCCCATGCTATTCACGCACTCTACCATACCACTGAGCTGTGTCCTCAGCCCTGAATTATGCTAAACTAATTTTCAAGTAGTTTGGGAATTATTTCTGTCTTGTTTTCATTTCAGACATACCGGCAAATCAGGTTAAACGAGTTATTAAAGGAACATTCAAACACAGCAAATATTATTGTCATGTAAGTACTATCTGTATTAAGATTTCCTTAGCTGTTCATTTTATGATAATGTACTATACTTTTAATTTCTTTTTGAAGTACTTACCTGTATAGCACTCATTAATGATTTAGTGATTTATAAAAAAGGGAAAAACAAACTTAGTTGAATATACTTTGCTTTGAGCATCTGAAAAAATCACTTAAATTAGGAGAAAAGAAAAATTAAAACCTGTTAAGCTTACATGAGTCTAAGCAATTCTTTATCATAATAGGTTATGCTAGGTTTCTTCTCTTTATTTTTTCAAAATTTCTTCTCTTTGGAAATACTGTGGCCTAGTTACGAAGCGTGTGTGGAGTAGGAGCCCAGAGAGCTTCCTCATGGAAAAAATCCCATGGAGTTATTTAGGGGATTACATTGGAACAGCACTCCTATGGAACCCCCATCTCCAAATGTTTTCATATAGTTCACATGTGCTTGCACTGAATAGAAATGCTAATGCCTATTTTGGCTATTCTACTGAGGTAGGTTAACTAGATTTTACTTGTACCCACATTTTTTCAGTCCTGAAGCCTCTGTTCTTATATAAGTAAGCAAAGCTCAGACTTTCAGAAACCATGTCAAATAATGAATAAAGCATACTAAAAGAGCTCAGTTAACGAATACTTAACTGTTGCATTAAGTTTCAAGCTTTGCTGTTGGCAGTGGAATCTGTTAACACATAGATCTTTAGAGAAGAACTTCAGATTAGCTGATCTCTACTACATAATCTATAAATAGAAGTTAAAACAAATAAGATAAAAAATAATAATACATGACTATCATGTATCTTAAATAGCTTCTGTTTTCCAAATTCTGATACACAAATATCCCTGTGTCCTCAAAGAATACCATCTAACCTTGTTGAAGACCCCGAAGCTGGAGATTTAGGTGCAGGTGTGGTTTTCCTGTATTACAGTTTATAGAAATACTTGTTTGCTATTCTTATGAACAAATGTTTAAAAAAACTTCTGTTTTAATCTAGGAACATGAGAATATGGTAGGTCAATTCTAAATGCAGTTTCCCTCTCTCAGTATTATTTAATTATAGCAATTTCTAGGTGGTTATTGTGATTTAGTTAATAATTTTTATCTCTTTTACTCAACTTAAAAACATTGTTTAATGTCCTTTCTCTTTGATCCCAGGAGTCTCCCGGTTGCACGAAAGGGTGCTGTGTCCAGTGCTCTCTATATGGCCTGGCTGGAAGCTCTGTCTAAGGACCTGCCACCAATTCTCCTGGTTCGTGGGAATCATCAGAGTGTCCTTACTTTCTATTCCTAGACGTTCTGCACCGTAGACTGCCCTCAAGAACGGTACTTCAGTGCCTAAAGAAGTGACTGAAATCTTCGATGGATGACACGTTAACATGACAGTGGCAAACTGACTTTTCTTTCACTATTTCATTAATTTTGAAGCACACAGGAAAGTTTCTCCATTGATATGTGTATGGAGAGTTTAGTTTTAGTCAATTCCATATTTCAATTTTTATGAATGGTGATTCTCTCTTGTTGGACTGAAGTTCATAAGAGTAAAGTTTTCCTTTGCTACTTGAATAGCAATAAAAGTGTGATTTTTTTTTTTTTTTTGATAGATGAAAGGAGTATAAAAAGCCTTTAGCCTCGAGGTGCCTTCTGAGACTAACCAAATTTCATCCATATATCCTGTTTTTATAAATTTGTAGGATGTCAAACTTTGCCTTCAGATATTTTATTTCTAGTGTCTTTCACCTTAAAATGGACCCTACTTTTCATCTTCGATCGACCAATTAGTGTTGAGTACTGTATGTTTTCTATGTTTTGTAGAAATATCTGTTAGGTATAAAAAATGAGAATTAGGGCAGGCTAATGCAACATGGAAAGGGGGGCTGGGGTAACCAAAAGGTGAACCACAAGGTTAGGTGTGTGTGAGTATATGTAAATATAGAGTTAGAAAAGAAAAGGGCCAAGTTACCCTTTTAAACTTCCATTTGGCTGTTGTTCTGTCTTTACTTTTTTGAAACAGTAGGGAAGGTTGAAGATATACCTGTATTTCTGTTTGCTATGCTTAAAAATCACATGTCATTCTTTAAATTAAAATCAAGATCATTTGTATTTATTTTAAGAGATATTTATCCTAATTTGGACTTTCCCTCAAATCTGAGGGACTTTTAAGAAACGCTAACAGATTTTTCTGGAGGAAATTTAGACAAAGCAATGTTATTTAATAGACTATTTAAATAAGCACTATGTTGAATTTCACTATACTGTACCATTCTTTATAAATCATTAAAATAATGTTTGATCAAATGGTTAAATGGACCACTGGTTTCTTAGTGAAATGTTTTTAGGCTTAATTCATTCAATTTTCAAGTACACTTAGTCTTAATACACTCAGGTTTGAACAGATTATTCTGAACATTGAAATTTAATCCATTCTTAATACTTTAAAACTTTTGTGTTAAGAAAAACTGCCAGTTTGTGTGTTTGAAATGTCTGTTTTGACATCAGTCTACTAGTACAATTTTGACAGTGCATATGTACTGTTACTAAAAGCTTTATATGCAATTATTAATGTGAAGTTTCTCATTTTTTATTTGATTTCCTAAAAACATTTCAAGGGATTTATGTCTGCATATTTGTATGTGTGTGCATATACACAGATACAGATGTGTCTATGTAATGAAATTTATGTTGCTGGTATTTTGCTTAAAGTGATCATGGTTCGTTAAATTTTTTTTATTTTTGTAAACATGTTCAAAATCAGATCAGTAGATTGTAGGTTTCATGGAGAACAAAGGCAGTCCTTTGAAGGCCAGAGTGTAACTTCCACAAGTGTCATCCATTACAAAATGGAAAGCATTTCATCTACAATCTTTGTCAATGGTTCATTGGTAAGTTTCAGTGATGGAGAGTTGCACAAATTCTCATGCATCTTGATAGAAATCTATAAAAATTATTTTCAATGTTGCAGTAGTTTTGCTGCATGAGTATAAATTGGAGATCTCATTTTAATTCAAAATATTAAAGTGAAGTAACCAATTTTTCTAAATTTTTTCATACATTATAACTCACAGCATTGTTCCATTTGTTATTACAAGTTTTGCAGTTAAATTTAGGGAGACAGTGTAGAAATGTCATTCAGTAAACAATATCATGTGTGAATATTTTAAATGGTCAGTAGGGCATGGACTGAGTGCTGCTATTTTGAAATGTGCACAGGTACACTTCCTTTTTTGTTTTTATTTAAGGCTTTTTTTTCCATTCAGGAAAACATCATTGTGATCTGTACTGCAGGAACCAAATGTTATGCATCATACATGTGTGTATAAAGTACATAAATATATCTAAATATACATAATGCAGGGAGGGTGATATTGTCTGTGAAATAATATAAGAAAATTTTCACTTTTTAAAAAAACAGTGCATTACTTTCACTTAACACTAGACACCCGGTCAAAAATGTTCAAGATTGTTGTAGTGCTCTAAAAATTTCAACAATTCTTAAAGATGCTAGCTAGTGTTGAAGCTATTCGTTTGACTTTATTTATGCTGAATTTTGATTATTTTAATGCCAAGTTTTTAATTCTAATCATTGGTGACAACTTGGAAATAAATAATTACACAGTGGCATTTGAGTTCATTATTCCTATAGGTGAGAAAGCAAGAATGTTAATGTTAAGCTGATTAACGGTTAATTAAATCAAATATTTATTTGTTACGTTGTTTCCTTTGTATTTTAGGTTCCTATTACATTCTTTTTATATTGCTTGCTGACATTACATTTTTTAAGTCTATGGAAATAATTTAAAGATTTGAGCTCTGGTGGATGATTATCTACTAAGTTTGAAAATGTAATATTTTGATAATACTGTACTATAACTGTCACACAAATGCTTTTTTTAATGTTTTAACCTTGAGTATTGCAGTTGCTGCTTTGTACAGAGGTTACTGCAATAAAGCAAGTGGATTCATTAAAACTAGTCAAGTCTACTCTTGTATTTTAACCTGTTATAAGTCTAAGCCAGGTCTGTGTTTTTTTCTCATTTATGTAACTGTTCTTTTATGAATGTCTGTATTTTTTAATGGTTTTATCTTAATATCTGTGCCTTGGAAAAATTATTTGAAATTGTTCCCTATCCCTAAGCCTCTGGAATAATCACTCTTGATACTGACTGATGAACTCTATAAGGTATAGCTCATTATGATTCTTTAAAAATAACTTAGCTTCTCTAATTCTGCTTTATTTGGAGCCCAAATCCCTCTTTATGAATGAGGAAGCTAGAAGATTAAAAGGCATTCACAGTCCTTGAATTTAATCTGATTTGTTTTCTTCCTAAGATTTTTCACTAAGCTGATTTACAGTTTTATGAAAACATTTTTCCTTTCTCATTTAAATCCTAGAAGTGCGTTACAGAATAGTTATTTATCTCTCCTAAGAAAGCAGCTTGGAGCACATTAGGGAGTTTCCCAAGGTCATAGTAAATGAATGAAGATGTCAGCTTAGAGCACAGGTCTTTGATCTCCAGGCATTCCTCCATATGTATTCACTGATGCCTGATCTGTAAGTTAAGAGGGTTCTGAAAGACAAGTCACTCACAAGCCACTCACCCTATCTATACAAGTTTGCTGAAGTAATGCAGGTATGCAAATTACATCTACAAATACAGATTGGCTACAGGTCAGGTCACCTTAATACACGCGGAGCCAAATGTAAATGTCCATTATATGAGCTTTGTATTTATTCTGAAATAAGTTACTATTCAGCCCAGTTTATTCACTTCCTTGGGAACCTAAAAGAACTGAGACAACAGGAATGTGACTTTGCTTAATTTCAGACCATCCAACAGATTTCAAAAATATAATTCATCTTTGAACAAACAGGTTTTGTTCTTATTCACCCCCCCAGGAAAAAAACAAAGAAATGCATTTGATATGCTTCCACTTTACCTACCAATAGGGTATTTGTAGTGTCTGAAGAAACAAGTGGTAATGTTTATTGGGTAAAGAAGGTCCAAGTCCCACGATACACCCAGGGGCATAGATCAACATTTCAGATAGTCTATTAAATGGGAGCATTGGAACATTGGCCCATTTTCCCTCCTTTGAGTGTAACATTGAGTTTTGAGTTAGACCAAGCAAGAGAGACAATTTTAGGGCAGAGGTTGTACCTCCAAATTTGTCACTTCTTAACCAGGCAGCCTTACATCTGTCCACTGGCCTTCCAGATCAGGAACGTGTGCCCCAAAGTAACTATCTAGTCCACAGTTTTTTGTCCCACTATTTGTGTATACAAATTACCAGTGCAGTTATCTTGTAGCAAATGTAAAAGTAAACTTACTTCTTGGATCCATGAAATGGAATCTATGACCCATGAATATTGGATGTTAAAGTTTAACTCCGTACCTACCAGAATTGAGTTAAAGTACTGCTAAAGACTGTTAGAGAAGTGTTGAGATTTTTTCCTGGAAGACTTAAGCACTTCGTGGGTTAACTGTATTCAGCTCTGATATATCTAATAACAGGCCAGAGACATCCTAAAAGTTGGGCAGTATTCGTATTTTCTAATTACATAGGTAGGTTAAAGACATATAAGTTATAAACATCCTTGCTTTTTTACATTTAAAAGTACTAGCCAATCCAATTTTAAAGGAGGTAGTCATAATTTGAAAAGGAGCTATTCACAGGAGTTTTTCTCAATAACCTATAAGCAACAGTTTACATCTACAAGTTTGGCTTAAATCACAAAACTTTGAAATTCCTAAAAAATGTGACGAAGAAATTTAAAAAGTAAAGACAAGGTATGGGGAGAAGGGTTGTGAGATGGAAATTTAAGCTCTAAGAAGAAGTTCATTAATTATGAAGGATTTGTCTTTTTATTATTTCCACAGTCATATTTCCTCTTCAGAAATAGTTGTGAAGAGTGGAAGTCATTTTTTTCCTCTAAATTTTGAAAACTCTTTTGACCCAGTTAACATTTCTTACTATTTACATCGTTCTAGTCTCAGAACTGTAACTCATGTCTTCCCTGGAGTTCATCTCTACAGTTTTTCCATCAGTAAAGATAATCCTTTGTTTACTTTCCATGCACCTGTGAGTTTAGCTTTGTTGACATAAGTTTCACACTTGGGTGTTTTCAGAAATTTGATAGGGAGCCTCAGGTGTGTTATGTATTGAAACATTGACTGGAATAGTTTTTAAACTTCAGTGTACTTCAGAATCCACCGGAGGACTTACTAAAACATCCTTCAGAGTTGGCGGTGTTGCCCAGTGGTAGAACACAGTATGTGTGAGGCCTGTTTTATTCCTGCCACATAATCTCTCGTGAGTGAAAGTCGTGTTCACCTATCCTGCTTTTCAATAGAACTCTCCCTTCTTTGGAGTTTTGTCCTTTTTTCTATGGTGTACCTGAATTTCTCTTTCCTTACACCATCTAGGGATTCAGATCAGGTTCTGTCTTTGTCAATTTCTTGTTGCTGAGACACAATACTCAACCAGCAGCTTAAAGGAGGAGATGTTTGTATAGGCTCAAAATTTCAAGGTCTCAGTCCATGACCAGCCGCTAGCTCCAGAGTAAAAGATGGCATCATGGGATAGGCTGGCAGACGAGAGCCTCTCACATCATGGCCGGGAAGCAGCGAAGGAAAGAGCTGGGGAGGGAGATGCCCTTCCAGCCCAGGGGCCAGTGACCCACTTCTGACCAGAACCCACTTCCTGATAGCACGTTCAGCTGGGGATTGATCAGTAGAATGTAGAGCCCCCATCATCCAGTCACCTTCCAGAAGCCCAACTAATGAACACGCGTCTTGGGGGACATTGCAGATGCAAACCATGATACCTCATTTCCAAAGTACTCAGTATTCTCACATTGTAGTGTCATTGGGTGTTTGTCCATGGTAGGAACAGAACCCAAAGCATGCTACCAGTAAAAGGAAGTGCAGGGACCCACCTCAGTTCGAGAGGGGAAGCAAGGGCTACTGAGAACAGTGCCGTTAGGGTTCCAGGTCTACCTTTCCTTCTTGCTGGTTGGCCTCTCTAGGCTTGGCTTCGCCTCACGGTGGACTGTCACCACCCAGCATGCGTGATGGCTTCTGACAGAAACCCCGCTCGGTCCCAGGGGCGTGGTGATGACAGTAGGAGATGGTATTATGCTGTCAGCTTTGGCAGAAAGACAGGAAAGGGCCCCAGTGGGTTCAGCTTAGGTAATGGGGGCCCTGTGATTCAGTCATGATTAGGCATGAGTCTTGCACCCACTTGACAAGCAGTGGATTCTTTACAGAGTAAAAGATTTTATTGAAAGGCTGGGAAGACTGAACCAACTAAACGGTGACCTATTACCCCTGTGATTGCTCTAAAAATGGTGGTCCAAGTGCAGCTGAATATGAGAAAACTTAATTCATCTACCTTTTTAGAGTCTGGTTATAGAGGGAACATTTAGGAAAGTCGGCGTAAGATGTGGCTCTCATTCAGCCTTCTATGAAAGGCCACACGCTACATTTGCACTGGTTACACACTGATAACTTTATCAAATTCGTCTGTGTACCAGACACATAGCTTATTTTATCTTGATCTGCACAACTGTGAGGTAGCTTCTGTGACTCCATATCATACTGTGAAGCTAGGGTCCAGATTCAGAGTGTAGCTCAACCCTTGCTCTTAAGCACTCACTGGACTGCTCCCCGCTTACATGGTTATGCAGGACAAACAAGAGTTGTTCTAAGAGTGCCCGTTTGGAAAGGTGAGCAAAGAGGAATACCCGGCCTTAAGGTGAGCTCCTGGTCAGTGCTCCCTGTCCAGACTCTGCACTCTGGCCATCCTTATCATTGTCTTCCAGGGCTGTGTAGGAAGAATTCACTCTTCTGAGGGTACACACTGGCCCTGAGGGCAAATGTCAGATGACTCCTCTGAGAAAGCCACAGAATCTTGCTCCCAAGGTACTTCCCTCTGGCAAACCTTACTGGCCAGCTCCCCGTCGGACTTGGGCTGCTAACCACTTACCGACGTGAGGCGCCTGATCCATGATCTGAGCGTCACTGTCCTGCTAGGACTGGACATGCCTATGATAGCTCTATTCTCTCTGCGCTACTTACAGCACAGGAAAATGGACCTATCAATTAACGATATTCTACCCTTCACATAAAATATCATAGTGTATATCTTTTTTTTCCTGTTGCTTATTCCAAAAATTATTTTTAGAGGCCATTATTATGAATATAGTTAAAACATTGGATTGTGAATCTAATAGAAGTTTAAAACTTTACTGAGAAAGTATATAAGAACAGCTAACTCATACCTCTATAGAATAAACATTCTCTTCTATCATGTTATCGTAACATTACCTTTCATAGTAATTACTAACATATAGATATCTCCCTCCCTTGTTACAAAGATTTACTTCATTCACTTTTCAGCCTAGTTCAGCCCTAGTATTTAGTCTTTTAAACCATGAAATATTTATTCATTGAAACCATGAAATAGTTAATCAGCCATGACACTGAATAACTCTTTAACAGTTTCAAACCAGATAAATCTCAATATTTTTGTCAGTAGCACTCTTTACCATATATTGTTTTCTAAGTGATACACTCAGATCTAAACATTAACCAATTCTATTGACATTTCTTATCACTGTACTAATTCTAGTTACTGCCAGCAATCTTTCAACTTTTTATCAGATGAGGAGGTATTATATCATTCTTACTAATCAGTTATTGATATGTTAAGCATGCGGGCAAAGCAGCATTTCAAATTTCATGTAAATATATGAGATTATTCTATATATAACATGATTGCTCCATAAGTACACACATTTCAAAGCTGTATGATCCATATGTGTGGTATCTATTATCCTCAAAATTAATGACAAATAAGATACGTACAGGTTTACTCCTTACAGATTTTTATTATAAAGTTCTAATCAGAAATCTGCAAATACAACATAAGCACCAGTGCCTGAGCCCTACTCACACCACCGCCAGCTCCC